TTTGATGATTTCATCCTGTTTCTTATTTTTGAGGGAGTTGTTCTTGTTCTTCCAAGGTTTTTAGGTGTTTCACTGAATTACTAATCTGAGATCTCTATTTAGAACTGATTTCTTCATTTAAGCATGGTTGTGGTGGTGGTGCATGACTTTAATTCCAGCACTCAGAAGGCAGAAGCAGGCAGATCTCTCTGTGAGTTTGAGGCCAGTCTGGTCTGCAAAGTGAGTTCCAGGACAGTCAGGAATACACAGAGAAGCCATATCTCAAAAAAAAATAATAGTAATAGTAATAATAATAATAATAAATTTCTTAATTTAATAAGAGCACAACCAATGTTTGACATTCCTGTGAATTTTCTCTGAGTACATGGGTTTGTTTATTTTAAACTGAATTATTTAATTCTGAGCAGAGAATGTTTCTTTGGCAGAATGAGTTCACAGACTTATGTCAGTGCATATGTAGAATGATGTATTTTTATGAATAGAAACTGAATTAAAGATTTATGAATTCTAAAATGTTATCTAGTTACTTATATGATTAATGCTGTGTATATACATTGTAATATTATACATAGACCTTGGTTTATGCCCTCTGTATATTTGTGATGCACTCTGTAAAATTTACTAGCTGGTTTATGCAATGGACACAATATTCCCTTTAGCTTCTGTCAGCCCAGAAAACATCTGCTGTATTAGGTTTCCTCCATTCTCCTGTTTTCAGGAGTGACTTTTAGTACCCTCTCTGTATCTGATAGTATGCAAAGGGAAGGTTTATTCTGGGACACTTTTCATACTTGTAAATATGAGGAAAAAGAAAAGGGAGAGGGAAATCACACTGCAAAGACAAAGCAGATGAAAATATTAGGGATGACATTGACTGACACTGTGGAATAGCCGAATTCTTATGGCCTCATAAATACATGTCTAAGAATCTGTCCAATTCCAATCACACATTTCCATTATAGAATTACATGTCTGATTTTCTTTTACTAAAATTACCCAAAATGATTTTAAAGAGTTATTTATTTACTGCTTATACACTGTTCTGCCTACATGACAGAAGAGGGCACCAGATTGAATTGTAGATGGCTGTGAGCCACTGTGTGGTTGCTGGGAATTGAATCAGGACCTCTGGAAGAGCAGTCAGTGCTCTTAACCTTTGAGCCATCTCTCCAGCCCCACAAAATGATCTTTTTACATTACCCTTTGATATGTAGATTAAAAGTTCAACTGGATTAATTTTTCTCCATGTTATGGTAAATTGGCAAAAGAAGGAGTGCAGGGAAGATCCCAGTGGAAAATCCCCAGAGTTTTTGAAAGCAGAACATTTAGGCAAAACTATTGGATTCTCTTTCAGATTTGTGAGCTCTTGGGAAGGATCTTTAAAGAGGTTTAACTTGTAGGGATTCACATTTTAGATCTTGTCTATGTTTAATGAGCTGGAGTCTAAAGTCAGTATTGACTTTTATGATGGATCTAAAATTGTATTGGAAAACATTCATGGTATGGAAACCCAATCCTATCCCTACCAGTCTTGACAGAAATTCTCAATTAGCATCCATCCCCAAAACCATGGTAGTAACAAACATTCTTCCCACCAGCCTGGTCCCAGAGCCACATCAACCCCAAATAACATACAGAGACTCTATTAGTTACAAAGCTGTTAGCCAAAGTTCAGGGCTTCTTATTGGCTAGTTCTATTTTAAGTATTAGCCCATAACTACTAATATATATGTATATTATATATAACTACTAATATATTATATATTACATATATATTATATATATATATATTTTTAACTGAGGACACCAGTCTCATGCATCCTTTCTTCCCGATATCACACAGTAACTCTCTACTCTTGAGTACATTTCCCAGAATCCTCCTCAACTCCTAGTCCCACCTACCTTGCTTCCTTATTGGCCAACAGTGTTTTATTTATCAACCAATAAGACAAACATTACACAGAAGACCATTTCCCATCATCTCCTCTTTTCTGTCTAAATAAAAAGGGTTTTAACTTTAACATAGTAAAATATATAACAAAACAGTTATCAAGTAAGAACTATAGTTACACTATTTAGTCCATGAACATTTAGCAGGATTTAAAGAAAGTATTCTATCATCTATCCTATCTGTGTGAGTCTAAAGACTTATATATAACTTACCTTTTATCATAATTAAGGAAAACTGTAACTATCTGTCTTCAACTCCATCAAAAACCACAGAAGGATAATATATAAACATTAGAATTTACAGAGCATTTCACTACCTGGACAGTCATCCAAAGTTCTTTTGAAATGTTGGGGCATCCATCTTCAGCCCATAGGCCAGTGTGTCTGACAGAGTTCTCTCTTTAAACTGTCTATCTGCATTGGCAGTTTGTTAGTCACTTTTCTGTGTCCTGCAGAATGTCTGGCAGACTCTTCCATGAGGCACAAACCCTTCAGGACTGTCCATCTTATTTTGTAAGTTTAGTAGTCACTTTCCCGTGGGTACTACATTTCCAGTTTATACAGCAACAGTTAAACAGTCCAGGCAAGAGCAGTTTCTTGCCCAAATGACTAGTTTAGCCATATTGAAAGTAAACTCCATAATAAGTTTCTTCAATGCCCATCATCTTCTCTTACATAGATTGGTGCTGCCAGGAGCAGACATTTCTCATTGTCAAGAAAAACCCTAAACCATCTTAAATGCCACTTTCTTAAGGTCTTTGAAAGGTTTGAAGAATATCTATCCATCTCAAATACATCTCCATATATCTAGAAAACCTAACTACCCTAACTATAAGTTTTGACTATTACATGTGACTATATAAATCTGTATTTAATTATGCATTACATTTTAAAAGATCAGCATAAACATAATACTTAAATAAGAGAAGATATATACATATCACAAAATTGACCTTAAATTTGTATCAATAAATGAAAATCCATACCAATATAAAAGTACTCATTTCAATATCATATTCCCCTTTTTCCCTTTAGAAAGAGATTGACTGTGATCATTACCATTTATAACCAATGATATCTTTACATACAAACATGTCTTGTGAGTCTGTTTCATGAACCAGGCCTTGATGGTTGGGGACTTCAGGTGCCTATGCAAGTGATGGGATAGGAAGTCTCTGCCATGCTCCAGGGGCCTTCAGTGATGGGATAAGAAGGCTCTGCCATGCTCCAGGAGCCTTCTCCTGCAGTAGTTGAGTTTCTTCACCAGGAAGAAATCAAGCACGTTGTGTGGGGCACTAGATTTCCTGTCAGGCAAGAGCTGCTGAAGTTGGAGCATTCTCTTCTGCTTAGCATCTGCTGCTGAAACTTTGGTCACATATCATCCTATGGAGGACAAGTACCTCGTTGTGTGGCCTTGTGGGATGTGAACTAATGACCTTCATCGTGGAGTGTTTGCTTTGAAATTTCTTCACAAGTACATCCTGAATGGAGAATTCTCCATTGTAGCGGGAAACTCTGCCATTAGCCATGTGGCGCAGTAAAGACACATATGGATGTGGTAATGAAAGGGTGGCAAAACTGCGCCACTAACCACACCCACTTTAGGCATGACTAGACACAGAGCTGGAACTATAACACTAGCCACTTGGGCCTGGCTAGGGGCGTGTACAGAAGAAGGAATAAAAGAATGAACAGCAGAGCACTCTAGGCTTCTAGTTTGGTGGCGGAAAACTACTCAACTCATCTGGGTTGCTCGTCTTTCTCTTGTGAGTAATTTCTACAATAAACACGTATACTCTCAAGTGTGCCATTTATCGTTGCAGCATCACCCCATAAAGAAGTCATAGTTTCTCTTCCTGTTTTTGAAAATACACAGAGAGAGCTTCTCACTATGATAAATGGAGCTTAAGAGATAAACTGTCCCCATAGTGTGACCACAGCCTGGGGAAGGAGTTAAGTTTGTGGATTTGGGGTCTTCTATTCTCATTGACCTTCACATTGATGCCATTTAAAATATATATCCACAGGTTAGTCTTCCTTGAACATTGTATGGACACTATGAACAGAGACTGCAAATGTTTCCTTTGTGTTGAAGGTCACCTAAGGTCAAATACCAGGAACTCCAGGTAGAGTCCTTCTGGAACATGACTACCTCTGAGAGGGAGGGAATGGTGTACATTCCAGGAGAGGCTAAAACAACTCATACTTGACAGGATCCTGGCTCAGGGTAGTAACTGGATTGCTTAGTCAGGAGGTCATGTTGGGTCAAGATTCCCATGGTTCAGGCAGAGTGGGCCTGTGTTCTATCACTCTTTAAAAAGTTGGGGTGAGGTTCATACAACACAAAGTCAATCACTTTGCAATCTATATTTGGTGGGATTTAGTGCATTTAGGATGTTGTATAACCTTCCCTGTATAGTTATATGATATTTCCATCACTCTTGAAGGAAATCTCCCATCAAGCCCTTATTCCTATTCCCCCTCCTTCCATCATACGTCCACTAAATCCTACTTGCCACTAGCATACTCTTTATTACCTACAGGTTTAAATATCCCTGATATTTAAATAAGGAATCATGCAGTTGTAATGTTTCATTTAGTAACATAATATTTTCAGGTTTGTGTGTTAGTATTTCATTTATTTTTAAAATATCTAACAATATTCCACTATAGATAATTCTACCTTTAGGTTATCATTCATCTGTTGATACCCATTTGAATTTAATTTTGTAAAAATAAAAAAAATAAAGAAAAATGTTGTTATATAAGTATCTTCTAGTCAGAATTTAGATATCATAGACCTGGTTGTCTAATATATTAATATTTCCGAGGTTCAGACTTTTTGTTCAGTTATGTCTTGGGAGAAACAGTTCTGTGGAGTTCAGCAGGACTGTTTGTCAGTACACATTGCCTGGCAAAAGTTCTATTCCCTTTGACAAACCTAACAGAGATTGTCTTCCTCTGTAATCCTGGCATTAAAATATAACTAAGAGCATTATAGATGGCCAGATATATGTGAAATAATGCAGACACACAATTAACACATAGTGTGTCTGTCAGTCCCCTTTCAAATAATTGACAGTTTATTATTTGTGTTAAGTAATGCCTACAAGTATGTGGGGATGACATAACATCGTTCATGTATAACAAAGCATAAAAGCAATATGTTCTATTGGCATTTAACTTATCTGGCAAGTGTTCACTGGATTTTTTTACATCAGATACCAAGTGCTGTGCATCCTAGAGCACACATACAAGATAAAATGGGTGCTTTCAGTAAAATTTAGTTCTGTGAGAAAGAAGGCAATGATTTTAGGACAATCTGATAAATGCAATGGGAGAGATTTTTGACCAGGATGTTAAGACAGAATAGAGCAGTGCCTACCCAGCTTGGCTAAGAAAGCATAAGGATGTGCCTCAGGTTTCTTGGTGCTATATGGAAGGGGTTTTCTCAACATCAGGCATGTGGTAGACTGTTCAGACTTATATATTTAATAATTAGAAGGATTCGTGATAACTTTTAGTATTCCCTCAGAAAAGGATTTAAACATAGACTGAGGTTCCTAAGTGGCAAAGAATGATTCTTTCTTTTGAACTTGCACGTTGGATTTCTCATCAGTAAGCTCTAGCAGGCTTTCTTTGTCTTTCATTTCTACAAAGTCTTCCACAGTCTTCTTCTCCACAATGGCTATAACATTAGGCAAGTTATAAATGGGCTTCAATTTTTTTGCACGGATCACCTTAACCCATCTCCGAAGGGTTTGTTTAACTGTTGAAGAGGCTATTCTATAGGCTATTTCTTTAAAAAGCTTGTGGGTTTTTTCTGCCAATATCGCGATCACAGGATCCTCCTCCCGAGTCACTCGTTCAACAACTGTAACAACAGAGGGGTCCTTAGTTCAGGGTCTCTCTGACTCCTAGAAGCATTAAGCCTAAGCAACTACATTTTACCAAGTTGCTCTCCCCCATATTCTTCACCTGCAACTCTTCCCTGTCTCTCTCTTTACTTGGCTAATAAGATCTTTTAAAGACGAATAAAAATGGCTACCAAATTTATAGCATATTTATGTGTCAAGCATTCTGCTCAGTATTGTAAGGAGAGACTCATGTGTTGGTGATAGCCATGTAAAACACAGAAATAACTCCAAGTGCTTATCAATAGAAAACTGATATAAAAATAAAACAAATCAAAAAGCACATATATTTTAATATGCATCAATGCATATTCATTGTCATGAAAATACACTTATGATAAATAGCCTTGAATTTGTGGCAATTCTTCCCCTTCAAACTTCCAAATGCTGGTACTACAGGGCGAGCCATATTATTTTAATTGTTTTGAATAAAAGAAACAGAATTAAGAAGGAAGCTTTACCTCACTCAGGATGGCTTCCTCCAGTGCCATCCATTTACCTGAGAATTTCAAGATTCCATTGTTTTTTTTTCTGCTGAGTAATAACCCAGTCGCAAAAAGACAAACATGGTATGTACTCACTCATATATGGTTTCAAGTCATGGATCAGAATAGTGCCAGTCTGCACTTCCACTGATAGAGAGTCTGGGAAACAGGAAAGAACCTAAAAGATATGCATATATGCATAGTACCCAAGAGAAGAGGATGGAGACAAGATCCTCTGAATGGATGGGGAACACAGTGAGGGGTGAGGGGGAGTGGGAGCTGGGAAGAAGAGAGGGGGGAGAAGAGAAAGAGAGAGTAGGTCATGGGGGAACAGGAAGTTGAGGGAGTGGGGGTAGAATAGGGGGAAGAGGGAATCATAGGTTACAAGACAGATCAGGCGCCAGAGTGACCTCTAGTGATCTAAAGGGATAACACCAATTGGCAAGCTAAGTAATAGTGGAGAGACCACCTCGAATGCCCATTCCTGATAATGAACTTGATGTCTATAACCATCTGGGAGCCTTCATCCTGTGACTGATGGAAGCAGAGGCAAACACACAATTAAACACTGAACTGAACCCAAGGAACCCAGTGGTAGACAGAGAGGAGTGATGAGAAATTGGCAAAGAATGGGCTGGCAAAACCAGCAAAGACAGCTGATCTGAACAGGGGAGAGCTCTTGGACCCCAGACTAACAGCGGGGAGGCTAACATGGGACTGATCTGGACCCCTCCAAATGTGAGTGTCAGTGAGAAGGCCTGGGCAACCTATGGGGCCTTGAGCAGTGGATCAGTGTCTATCCCTGGAATACAAACAGTCATCGTGTGCCTGTTGCACAAAGAGGGATGCTCTCTCAGCCTGGACTCTTAGGGGAGTGCCTGGACTTTTTCCTGAGTGAAATGACAGACTCTAGATATCCCCTATGTGGAAGGAATTGGCAATAGGGTGGGAGGCTGGGGGGGAAGGGGAGTGCGGGAGGAGGGGAGGGAGAGGGAACTGGGATTGACATGTAAAACAAGCTATTTAAAATTAAAATAAAAATGATATAAAAAAAGAAGGATGTTTTAGCAAAGAAAAGGAGAGAAAAGGAACAGGAAAGAGAGAAGAGAGAGATCTTAAGAAGGGTTAAGGGAGAAATATAGTGCTTGACATTCAGTAGGTAGTCAGAAGTGTTGAATAAATGAAGTGACTGACTGAGTGGGCACAACTCTTTACAGCAACTGTATTACCCTGGTGGGAGACGCTGACAAGGGAGGAGACGGTGTGAGTACAGTGTGGAAGATCATGGGAAATCCTTGAATTTCCAGCAGTGTTGTTGTGAACCTGAAATTTCTCTGGACAAAAGTAGACTAAAACAGACAGGAAAGAAGGAAAGAGGGAAAGAAGGAAGGAAGGAAGGAAGGAAGGAAGGAAGGAAAGGAGGGAGAGAGGGAAAGAGGGAAAGACATTTATCTTAGCTATTTTCTTTAATTTTTTAGATTCATTTATTGTATTTTATGTCTATGAATTGTTTGCCTGAGTGTGTTTATATGCAGCACTTTTGTACTTGGTGCCTGCAGACGTTAGAATAGGGTGTTGGATCCCCTGGAAACAGAGCTGTGGATGATTTTGGGACACCATGTTGATGCTGGTAGTTGAACTTTGATCCTCTGCAAGAACAAGTGCTTCCAACTGCTGAGCCATCTCTCCAGCCCTGCCCCAAGCTGTTTTCTTATAAGGCAGTAGAGAGATGCTAAGCGAGAGTGACACCCATTACCCATGCCCTTTGAAGGAATAACATTACCCTTCTTCAATGCCTCCCCCTCTGAATGTAATGCATACTAATATTCACTGAAATGTAAAATCCATGAGGAAAGAACCAGTTTTATTTACTAGGGTAGCCCTATAACTACATGGTGCTGTGACACAGAACATGTAGGAAAAAAAGATTTGCAGGACATGTGAGTTACTCCTGAACTTCTAGTAGCTTCTTAAGACTCTGGCATGGTAATTAGTTTTCAGACAATAAATGGGATACATTTGGAGAATAAAACAGGGACAGTAAGAGAGAATAGGGAGAGAAAAAACAAATTCCCCTTAGCCTAGTCCCTTTCCTGATCTTGCAATCCATAAACCTACCACCACCCAATTTCCATCTCATAACCACTATATAAAACTCTTATCCAACTAGAATCAGAATAGTGAATTGATTTGGATCTATACACAAAGACCTCAATCTTACCCTCAATCATGACATCAATTTCTTCTCTGAGCAGTAAATATTCTCCAGATTTCCCCAAGTACCCTATGTGCAAAGTATAAGCAAAATTAGGTCAAAATTAAATACATTTCTGCTGTTATCTAGCTAGATTATAGATGTTCCTTAAACTACATTTAGTGATTTCAAACAATCACTGTTCAATAAAGAATTAAAGTATGTATGAAGAATTATGGAACCTGACTCCATTTTAAAGGCAGGAGCCATTATGTTGTATTTTCAAAAATTAAGTTTCAATTTGCTGTGAGAGTTGAGTAGCTGTTTCCTGGAACCTGACCTTCCCCAACCCATGGCCTTGATATGTTCTAGAGGATATCCTGACCCTTCCTTATCCTCCTAATGATCTGGTGGTTGATCACATGACTTTTTTAATTGTTGTATTTTCTTATTGCCACATTGCCACCCCCACCCAAACCCCACCCTCTCTCTCTCTTGTAAAACTACTTGTTTCCTTCCCCACATTTCAGCATGTATTTTGGGAGCTCTACTATCTTCATTCAACATAGTTTTGTGAGATGTATCTGTGGTAGAGTATTATTTTGAGGTGTGTGACTTTTGTTTATGCTGTATTTGTTTAACTTGGCGAAGCTGTAATTCTTTGCTTGTCTAAAACATCTGATGGCCTGATAAAGAGTTAAACAGCCAATAGCATGGCAGGAACAAGCATAGGCAGGGCTGCCAGGCAGAGTATAAATTAAAGGAGAATCAAAAAGGAGGAGGGAGGAGAGACAAGAGAATAAGGAGAGGAGGATGTAAGGAGGCAGCCACCCAGCCCCTCAGCTGCACAGCCAAACATGGAATAAGAAGGAAAGAAAAGGGACTCAGAAATAATAAAGATAAAAGCCCAGAGGGAAAAGGTAGATGGGATAATTAAGAAAAACTTGCTAGCAACAAGCCAAGCTAAGGCTGGGCACTCATAACTAAGAATAAGCCTCTGTGTGTGATTCATTTGGAAGCTGTGTGGCAAGCCCCCAAAAGAGTTAAAAAAACCCAAAAGAGTAAAATATAGAACAGCATGTATCTATGTTCCTTCCTGTAGAAATATCTCATGTATTGCCATTTTAACACAAAGAGTAGCAGAGTAGAGATTACTTGAAACACAGACTATTGACTCATTTTGCATACATATCTAACTTATTTTTCTTTCCTTATCTAGGATGGAACCTGAGAGAACTGAGCTGTGGACTATAGTCTCATGTAACAGACAACTTTGTTCAAAGTATCAGACACATTGGTTTAGAAGAGCCACATGAGTAAAGTGTACAATGACAAAGCCAAGCCTCAAGCGGCAGGCAAACCCCAAGTGACAAAAACATGTTTTTTCCATACAGGCATATAAACAAATAGCAATAGCCAGTTGTAATAAACAATCTTAAGTAAATTCGCTCATGTCCACTACACCTTGGAGGAGCATAAAAGCATAAACTAACAACAATTTTGTGCCTTTGAAAAAACTGAGGTTATAAGACTCTCGTCTTGATTTCTCAGAGTTTTCTGACAAGCACTCAGAAATGTCACAGGACTCCACTCTTGTAAGTTTCCCATATTCCATCAAATAACTTTTTACCCACGCTCATGCAGGCAACCCTATTAAAACTACCTCACACACAAAAGGCCTAAAAAGCAGGAGGGGGGCTGGTTGGGGAAAGGCTTCCAGTGAGAGATAGAAAGATAATAGGGCAACAGAGAACAAGGAGGATGAGCTGTATTGTATATATGCAGGAAGCTGTCAACTAAAAAATAAAGCTGGGCATGTAGCTCAGTGGACAAGCTTCAGAACCACAAGTAACAGCAACAACAATAAAAAGATTCATTCTGCATTTTAATGGGTGTTACCAAATTGGCCTTCTTAGGAAAGGTAAAAAGCATTGCTATGATGAAAAATCATTTCCATTTTCCTATAACATGATCAGAACTACATAACACATTGCAGTAAAACAACTGAGACTCCAACTTCCTAGATGTCTATCAACTGATGAATGGATAATGCAAATGTGGTGCATTTATACAATGGAGTATTATTTAGCTGCTAAGAAAAATAAAATTGTGAAAATTTCAGGGGAAGGAATGGAGTTAGAGGCACTCATCCTGAGAGAGGTAACTCAAATTCAGAAAGACAAACATTGTGCGTTTTCTCCTACATGTAGATGTTAGCTCTTATGTTTTAGATACATATTTCATTTATAATATCCATGGAGGTTAGGTAGCTAGTAGGAGCACACAGGGGAGGAAGAACAGGAGGAGGAGATCTTCCAAGGAAGTGGAAATAATATACAGTATTGCATTGCTTTTTTATGAAGTTGTGAAAATTTTATGCTCAAATGCCACTTTTTATGTTCTTTGCATTTTCTTTTAAGAGATTGCTTTCTATAGTTTTAAAATTTGGATTCTAATCTTGTATCATGCTTTTTCATTGAAAATGTTTTAGCATCACAGAGTTGGCAATCTTTTCTTATGGCTTACAATGTGACTTTCACTTAGAAAGTTCCCCTAACCTGTAATTATCAAGTACATTTTCCACATTAGTTTATCAAATTATTTTGTAGTTATGGTTTCAGTGTAACACTGAATCTTCTTTGCCCTTCAGGATTTTGTTTAATGCAAGAGTAAAAAAATTTTACCAGGTATCCCTACATTTAAAGAATATTCCATGTTTTCATCAGTGTTAAAGTTTGTGGCTCACCCTTTAGTATTATATAATTTAGCTGTTATTTCTTGATGTTATTTTTTTCAATTTTTTCCCCTGTCTGTTCCATGCATGTGATCTTTAGTTACTGACTTTTGGCACAGCTTGTCTCAGGACTCTTTTGAACTGAAATCTTCACTATTTTGCACATAACTTTTTTTTAATAACGTGGAAATCAGTGTATCAACCTTGAAAACAAACTGTTGATATAAGCATAGCTTTTTAAAAAAGCATTAGGACTTTAAATCTTATTCATTCTTTCCCAAAATAGAGTTTATGCTCTATTCATTGCTCAACTTTCATTTTCTTCAGTAACGTTCATAAGTAGTTTCCCTGTGTGCTGTGCCTGTACTTCAAAGTTGGTTTTTATTCCCTCCTTGCTCCCTTAACCTACCCTTCCCTCCTTTCTCATCTTCACTTCCTTTCCAGCTCCCTCCTCCTACCCCCAGAACCTCCTTTCCAGCTTCCTCTCTCCTTCCCTCCCATTTCTTCCTCTCTCATTGTAGTGGATTGAACGTAATTGGCCTCCACAATCTCATAGGGAGTGGCACTATTAGGAGCTGTGACCGTGTTGAAGGAAGTGTGTCACTGTGGGGGTGGGCTTTGAGGTCTCTTTTGCTCCAGTTTAACTTAGTGTGACAGACCACGGTTCTGTTCCCTTCTGATCAAGATGTATCCAGTACCAAGCCAGCCTGCATGCACGCCTTGATGACAATGGACTAAAAGCTGGCAATCATTTAAATGAAAAAAGAGTTTCTATGGTCATGGTGCCTCTTCACAGCAATAAAAATCCTAAGACAATCACTTTTTTTCATTATTTATTTTATACCAATTACAAATGGTATCATTTGTTCTTATATATTTCTACCATTGATCTGTAAAATTTGAGAGATTGAAATTATATTTTAAATTAAAATGTGTGTACAAACAACTATACATAATCAATGTTGATTCTGAAGGATCACAGTAAGATGGACACCGTTATTTCTTGTGTGAATTTAGCTCTTGTTGGGGACTGGTTTATCATTACTGACACTGTAGATTTTCTCATTCGTGGATTACAGTTGTTTTCCTTTCCTGTGATCGTTAAGTATCATTCTTCACACTTGTCCCCTGTGCTGTAAAATCTTAATTTAATAGTTTTTGCTTGTTTCATCAGATACATCCTGTATATTTTTAGAAACATTCAACCTTTATTTTAAAGTTTCAGGTTCACAGAATTATTTATTATGAGTCTCATCTGCTAAAATATATTTTCTATATTTTTTCTCTTCTTTTCTCTATTTTTCTCTTGAAGTACCTCTGCTGAAAAATGATGCTGCCCTTTTATGAAAAGTTATTCATCGAGAATTCCATAGTTGTTACACACAGAGACAGTAAGCGCCAGGCTATCCAGGAGATTGTATTGGTTTGCAATAAAGCTATTACGGAACTCCCTGTGTCTGCATGTCTCTGTGTGTCTCTGTACCTAATGCTTATCATGGTTCAGTTGGTTATGTATTTTGACTGTCCTGATACTCTACAGGGTGATATATAGGACCATGAATTTCTTCATTCCTTTCTGTTCTTGGTAGTCTTGGGTCCCAAATATGAACAAGAGGCGATTTATCACTAACTAAATTGGGAATTCCAGACTTTCACAGTGAGAGTGTCATGAGGAAAACCACCACTACCACTGGTCAGATTTGTCCAAAGTCAAAACTTTAGTTGTCTTCCCCTCTGAGTGTCTTTTTGGGTTTCTCTCATATGCATTTTATTTCTAAACTTTAGAGGATCATCTTTATTCATTGTAGTTTGTTGTTACAGGTGTTCAGGTTGCATTGAACATGATGGTTATATGAAATTCTAAATCACTCTTGTTATTTAAATAGTGATTTTAGGCAGTAGAGGGATGATTGAGGAATGATATCACATTCTAAAATTTTATATCCATCTTGTTGAACACATTTTATATACTAATTTGTCAGATAGATATACCTACATTTTGTTGTGAAATAGAACTCTACTGCAATCACACATATTAACTCTAGTCATCATATTTATCATCATGACAGGTATTGTCAATCATAAAAATCTGTAACTATTTTAATGAATAGTTTTGACTTGAATCGTATTTTGTACATTCAAAGAGAAATTAAGAAAAATTAAATTTATTTACCTACTAATATAATGGATCCTCTCTTCAGAAAGGCTCGAGAGCTTCCCAGGAACCCTAAGGTATCAGATATTAAGTCTATAATGTAACTCTCATAAGAAGAAATCTGGGAATAAAACAGGAAAATTGCTCAATTGTTGACAAAGCATATTTGCTTCCTCTAGAGAAGAGTCAAAATAAGAGACCTTAATTATTTAATTGTTAGTATGAAATTAAGAACAGTTTAAAACTTGGAGGTTTGTCTGTATGAACTATGATCTTCAGGCTGCTGGCAAGGATCCGTCTCTTTTTAATATAGCATTCCTGAACCCAAGGTTGTGTTTCCAATCTATGGTTAGTTAGCATCCTCTCATCCATATTTATTTACCCTTGTTCATACTGGATTTCAAAAAACCAACTCATAAGTCATGACAAAATAAATCCAGTTTTCCTTTGGTGATGTGGAGTGGTCTACTCAAGTTTATATCCTCCCACAGGTCAACATAGGAGGAAGAAAATAGAATGATCAATGTCGAGAGCATGAGAAATTTTCTTTCACTTAAAGCTCTTACTGTAAATATAAATATTTTCTTTTCTTCACATTCTTTCTACAAGATCCTCCCTTTGCCATTGCAGTACTCACGATTTATGTTACCTTAATGTTGTGCTTATGACAGTTAAAGCAGAGGGCTACTTACAAGGTTGTTGCAGATACTGAGAACCAGTGACTCAAAATCGTAATTATCCTCCTGGAGCAGATATGCTGTTGACCACTTTAGTTGTGAGAAGCACATAGTTAGTGTATATCTGCAAGCCTGAGAGAGAGGAAAGATCAGTGAGGCTTGACTTGCTGTTACATAGAACATTATTCTGGGTTTAACTGAGAGAAATAAGATTATGTAAAAAATTTAAGAAAAAATGCTCTCACTTTCATAATTCTTAATTCTGTAGACTCCAAAAACAGGATCAGGGGCACAAGACCTCCTAGGATTGTATGGTTCAGCATCCATTTGTAGTCACTCATATCCATAAGCAAGTCACCAAAGTGTCGAATGGCCATGCACTGAACACCACCATTAACCTGAAACATGCATACAAGAAAAAATTGAGACTTCAGTTGAGCAGATCAGTGCTACTTTCTTTAACGGTAGTATATATGAGTGGTATATATACATGCATATGTAACTACCATGTTTAGTAAAGATTGGGCTTGTTAGAGATTCTTTTTGTGATAAGAATTTACCAACCATTATTCACAATAGCCAAACTATAAGTTCCCATTAATAGATGAACACACAAATAATATGTGACATAATTTGAAAAATAAAGATTATCACGGCAACAGTATGGCTAAATCAGGAGGGCATCATGCTGTGTGGACTCAGCCAGCTATAAAAATAATCTTTCCTGATCTCAAACAGAGCTAGTTACTAGCTGATCAAATTAGCCATAGAGGTTTTGGAGGACTGAGGACATATATAGAAACGCAGGAAGTAGTAGGGAGGGATTTAGAAAGGTTTTCAGCCCTATTTGGTTCAAGGAAGAAGAGAGAGAGGAGGTCATTGGTTGCTTCTCCTCCACTTCTCTGATCATTCAGGTTCTTACCTCTGACTCTCGAGTTCTTACTGATAAAGAATAACTAGATAAATGCTTTATCTGGTGACCAATATGGGGCTTGGAATCACAAGGCAGCAACTCCCTGCCAAGCCTGACTTTCCCTGCCTCCCCTCATGCCCTCCATGAAAGTCTGGGGTTTTCCAATTGCAACTTCTCTATGGCAGCCACCAGGTGCTGCCTGACCTGGGCCTCCAAACACCACAGATGGCTGGGCGTCAAAAGCCCTGGAATTAGCCGCTTACCACTACACACCTCTGTCATTCAGACAGCCCCATGCCTTCATTTCCTACCACATCCTTCTGTACATACTCCTGTGTTGGCTTTTCAGGCAGCTGGTTCCCTCTCCCCTTGGGTTGCAAGCTTCCCTTTGACCCACTCCTTGGGCCATTGCTACATCAAGTGGGTCACCTCAGTACCCACTCAGGCTTTTAGTGCTGTTGCCACTGCCACACACTCTCAGCTCTCAAGTACACATGAGCAGCTGCAGCTGTCCTTGACCAGACTGTGCACTTCCTACTTCTTGCACTTTCTGCCCAGCTGTGCAGCACAGCAACAGCTAGCTTCAAAATTCACCATCATTGTCAGCACATCTGGTGAGACACCTGAGAATTCTTTCTTTCATTCATATATATTTTTTTCCAAGACAGGGTTTCTCTATGTAATAGCCCTGGGTGTCCTGGAACTCAGACTGTAGACCAGGCTGGCCTTGAACTCACAGAGATCTGCCTGCCTCTGCCTCTCAAGTGCTTGGATTAATGGCATGTGACACCTAGTGACACCTGGATGGAAATGAGGCTGGAGCAGAGCTTTCAACTAAATATTCAGGAGAACAATAAAACAAGTATTTTGGCAAACTTCTATAAATGATCAAATACAAATAAGTGGCATTATGATTGAAAGCTTACTAGACACAGCCACAAGTTTAATAATAATTTCACCAAATTTTGGAATCCAGATTGGCCTCTGAAGGAGGTAAATATTCACCTTCTAGAGATTGGATAGATAGATAGATAGGGATAGAAATAGATAGATGATAGATACAAGATAGATAGATAGATAGATGATAGATATGAACTAAAGCTGGGTAGATACAGAAGTGGGGAGGGTCTGGGAGGAGTTGGAAGAGGGAAAATATGATTAAAATATATTGTGTGAAAATTTTAAATAAAAAGACACAATTTAGATTGTATAATAAATTAGTTTCTTATGTTTAGAAAGATAGGAGTTAATAACATTTCAAAGGCATAAAGTAGCACATATCTGTGTAAGTTGGGGGTCATTCTATAAAAACACTCAGAATTTTGTAGGCATGTTGTGTTCACTTCCAGAGAGTCCTGAATACTGATTAGAACTTTGTACATTGGCATGCAATTTAGTTTCCAAGGAGTGTTTGTACCAAGTAGGGAAACAGAAGAAGCTTGTACTATTACAAGTTAGAGGATGAGACTAATTTAAACAATTATATCAACTTATGTTAATCAAACATTTATGATTTAATCTTGAATATATTTTTAAAATATGCTAACTAGTTTATCAGTTATATAATGAACTTCTATGAATAATGAACTCTCTTTACATCAGTTTCTTACATGGAAGATAGATAAAATAAGGAAACTCAAAATTTACAACTTTCTGTTGAAATTCTATTTAATTAAAGTTTTATCTGCTTTCATTTACATTTCCTGAATGGCTAAGGATGCTGAATATTTTTACACATGTTTCTCAGTCATTCATATTTCATTTTTGAGAACTCTGTTTAGTACCATACCTAAATTTTAAAATCGACTAACTGTCAAATATATAGATGGTAAAGATTTTTATCCATTCTGTAAGCTGCCTTATCACTAAATGATGGAATCCTTTGCTGTACAAAGCCTTTTGTTTTAATGAGGTTCCATTTATTAATTGTTGGTTTAAATTCCCCTGGCCTCTAGTACACCATCAATACTGGACCCTCCCTAAAACTCCTTTTAGCCATCCTGCTGTTGCTCCAAGTCATGGAGATCCTGTGGCTATGGTTCTGTAGGTCTGGCCCTTTCACACGCTCCAGCAGGTCCTAAAAGGGATTGATGATGGAGTCGGTCAACTCAAAGCCCTGGATGTGGGCCTCGGTGGCAGATGAACTGGTTAGTCCAGGCCACTTGGACCACCCCTCAGGAGAGTGTCAGGGCCAGCTCATGTTTTCAAACAGCCAAGACTATTCTATTTTTAACTGTGTATGCATACTAAAATAGTTAGAATGGAGTTACCCTACAGTGGGAAGACAATGTTTCTACTAGGTAACACAGGCTAAGAAATGAATAGTTCAGTGGCAGGATCTTGGATAATGAGGTCCCACAGAACCATAGGCATTACAGGCTATTGCCAATGCCCTAGGTTACCACTCACAACATGATGGTTAAGATTCTATAGCTAAATCACAGACCTTGGAGAACTCAAGCTGGTACTGATTTGGATGTGCCATCCCAATTGGATAGTTTTTATAGTTCCATAAGAGAAAATGGAATCTCCAGTCATATCCAGCTGTGAACCTGTGAGCTACAAAAACCTCTGTCCTGGCAAGATAGGTCCGCTGGTGCAATAGTAGCATGTTTATCATGGAATTAACCAAATACTCTAATTGGATTTAAGTCGAAATCCACAAGAAGAAACCCATACCTAGTGCCATTAACAGGCCAAGAACTTGAGACCAGACAGGTCACAGACCCTAAGGGAACACCTAATACTATTCTGCTATTTGGATATAGTATGAAAATAACTCCTAATTACTGGGATGCTCTAGAGTTTAATTCCTGAATCTGACCTTAAGACTTTCTCAAATTAACTTGTAAATTTCAACAAAGATTTTGTTATGAAAGAAAACCTTGTTTCTTTCATTTTAAATATTATTATTTAACGTAATTGTTCTTAAGTCCTGCTAGTCTCCCTCTTTTCTATTTACCTTTTTAATTAATAAAATCTATTTAAGCTATTGAAGAGCGATTCTACAGCCAGTTTAGACTCAGAGTTGAGGTTCCGTCACGTGTCAGTTTTGATGCTTACTTACTTAACTTTTTGAATTGTGTTTGCTATCAGTAACTTCTCCAGATTGCAATTGGAGTCACTTAGCAGGAATCTGGTTTGTAGAAGGACCCCCTCTGTTCTTTCCTCCCTTGTGTCTTCTGTGTTTACAGTATGATTATTTTAATATGGCAGCACTAACTGGACTAGCAGAGTATTAAAATAGACAATAAGTTGAGAGAGAGACCTGTTGGGAGGATGTAGGGGAAGTTCAATGGGGGAATATATGTGGTTATATTTCATTATGTGCATCAGTTGTTGTAATCCTGTGGGTCACAACCCCATTGAGGGTATCATATCAATTACCCTGCATGTCAGATATTTACATTAGGCTTCATAACAGTAACAAAACTGCAGTTATGATGTAGCAACAACATAATTTTATGGTTGTGGGTCACCATGTAAGAAACTGTATTACAGGGTCCAGCATTAGGAAAGTTGAGGACCACTGGTCTACATGAACAAAATAAATAAAGCAATAAAGAAAAATTAAAACAAAATAAAGTCTTATATGTTAATTACAAACATTTACTTGAGGTACTCCACTTTCAATATCGTAATCATGTAGCAAAAGCAGTATATTTTAATGGAGTGAAGTAATATGGAACAGAAAAACCATGAAAGCAAAATTTAAGTGAAAGAGAATTTGTAAGCCTATACTCTTTGACAAATAAGTCTCCAACTGAAGGATTTTTTAAAATTTTTTATTCTTTGACAGTTTCATATATGTGTATGATGGATTTCAGTCATTTTTACCTCCCGTCATCTTCTCATCTCTCCTCCTTCTGATGAATTCCTTCTTGTCCTCAACAATTCCACTTTAACATCTCATTTGCATAGTGACCAATGAGTTTAAGTAAGGGTGCTTGCATGAGTGTGGGCAGAGGTTCCTTACTCATGGACAATTTATCAGTGGTTACACCGCTGGTGAAAGTTACATCATTCCCTCTAGGCACCACTAGCCGACATCAGTCCCTCAGGGAAGGGCAGGGCCTTATGAGCCCTTCCTCCTTCCATGATGACATGTTGCTAAGCTCAATCTTGTGCAGGTCTTTTGTGGATATCTACAGCTTCAGTAAGTTCATGTCCAGAAGACATCATTTTTGCAACACTGCTCCATTCTCTGACCGTTGTATTCTTTCCACCCCCTTCTATAGGATGTCCTCTAAGCGTTGGGGGGTGAACACTTGAACTCTTGACAATATAAGAAACCTACTTCTGTGTCTGTTTTAAAGGTGGGGAAACTGAAGCAGCAAGACTCTGAAGAAATCTTTATCTCACCATAATATCAAAGGTAGAAGATGGATTTACATATACCCAGCTCAGGTCCGGTGTTAATCAATGTATCCACTAAGCCAAAATTTATCCAGGGATAGATAGTTGTTTTATGCTGGCTGATTCTAGGATATAAGATCATTATACCATCTGAGGATTAACTCAACCATAAAAGCTAATGGTTTTATACATCAAATCACATGATATCACTCACATGATCCATAAGAGGACAGTAGCTGGAAGCAATCTTGTCACACACTGTGGAGTAGATCACCTTGTCCAGTTTGCTCAAAATGTTTCGGAGGGTGAGCATGGCCCGTATGATAACAGTGTGCTCTTTGGAAAGAAAAGCATCCAAGATTGGGAGTAACAAGTTGGAGACGTTTTGTATCTATATATAAGAGGAAGAAAATGGTAGAACTTTAGAACTAGGAAGGTTGGGCTGATGTGTAAACTTCTGAGTTTATCGTGCCAACTCACAAGTCCTCTTTAAAACTGTTTAAGGTTTTGTAAACTAAATGCTTTAAAAAGTCATTGTTAAAAATGAATCACATAAATTTATAAAAGCCAAAGTAGTATTTAAAAGTGATCAAAATTCTTTTTCTAGTGTGTATTTTATTTGCTACATTTTTAAGTCTAGTTATGAACTGTGTATGGGTGGTTGGAATAATAAATAAAATTATTTATGCATCTCTTCACAACTCAATGTTTTTAATGCTTGCATTTGATATCTTGAAATTAGCCATGGTAAGTGTATTCATATCAGAAAATTTTGATCTTGTTTTTCAGAGAGTTGGTACTAAATATTTACCAACATATCTGGTAGTGTGGTCCCTAAACATGAGAATGAGATGTTTAAACGGAGGAACTGAAGAGCCCCAGAGGCAAATTAGAGCCAAAGAAAAAGAAGGGAAAAGAGAAATAGAGGACACCAAAGAAGTAAATGTGTGAGTGTGTGAGTGTGTGTGTGTGTGTGTGTGTGTCTGTGTGTGTATTCAGTTAAGAACAGAATCAGTGCCTAAAGGTACCTTTGTCTCTCTAGGAAGTAAGATCTGTATTGTTTCTCCATTATTGTCCTTCTAACCTTGGCATAAAATCTCCCTATTATGAACAATATGAAGAAGAGTTTTGGGCAAAGCAGCAAATAACTTTCTGCTTACTAAAGAGTAAAAACCACCATCCTAAGGACTTGTTTTTTTTTAAAGCAGATGTACCACAGCTCATGAAATTCTAGATGCAAAAATGGGTATCCACCAATAGACTTGAAGGCTGTGATCAAATAGATAAACAAAGATTTATTATTAGGTTCATTATTGAATCAGAAATAATTTGTGGTGCATCTACAGTTTCAGGATTATGCAAGATACTTTGAAAGTTGAAATTACAAGACATTGGGTCCTGATTAAAGTTTTTTGAACTGGAAAGCTAATCACATGGGTTTGTGGGAGATGATTTAAGATAGTGACTTTTATTGTTACCTAAGGACCTAAATAGACCACAACCCAGAGTTTCTTGTTCTGCAGGCTTGAGGGGGGCACAAACCTTTGCATTTGTAACAAGTTTCCAGGTGACTTTGATTCAGGTGACTCGAACACCACACTTTGACTATCACTGTTATATAAAATAAGTGCTCTTAGGTGGGGTGGCCCTCAGAGGGAGGAAGCTATCCAATAAATTCTGACTTGAGATGATGGTCATAAAGGGCAAAGAATCCAATTATATATAAGTGAAGGGAAAGTGTTTTAAGTGGGTAGTGGAGGTCTGGTGAGTACCTCAAGAAAGAAGTCAATGAGTAAATACAGAGAGGAAATGGACAGGAGTTTATAATTTAATCTGTAGAAAGAGTATTTATTCTGAGCAATGATTATAAGTAAATTCTGAACACAAGACATGATTTTGTGGAAAAATTATGAATAAGGTGATAAAAGTCACTTAATTGGTTTATAGTATCTCTATTGTGTTGAGTTTCAGACTTGATAGTTTTAGCTGTACAAAAACTGAAAAAGCACCAAAGTTTCATTATGAGACATTGAGCAGTATTAAAACATCTAATCATGACACAAAAACATTATACTTCATACACACATACTTCACTGAAAACTGGTGCCATGCTTGCAATTTTCTGAAGGCTCATTTTGCTAACTGAAGGATTGGAGTCGTTGATCCAGCTTCTGAAGGGAGTAAAAAATTCCTTGGGTAATGATTCCTTGAAGAAGTTTTTCAGAAGCTTTAAGAAGCAAAAGTGTAGTTAATAAATTAGTGAGGATAGTCAGGACTCCTCCCTGACTCCCCCTTTGATTTCATATATCTTTTACTTTCTTCAATTTTCATGAGAAAAGAACTTAGAAAGGGATAGGAGATGCTGGAGTTTTGATTTCAAGTTTATTCAAGGAATGGGAAGAACTCTGTTGGTCACAAACTACTATCAAAACTCACTTCAGTGAAGAATATTATTGTGACGATGGTGTCTTCTGATCTCCTACTATCTTTGACTGCAATCTTGTAGACATAATGTAGGGTCTCTGGAAACTGTGGAAAATTACATTCACTTAGAGTTCTGTAAAGGAGTACAAGACACCAAATCAACAAAGGAGAAAAGTACCCTGCATTAGAAAGTACAGTGACACAGAAGAAAAGTACTCTGAATTAACAAGTATAGTGACAAGAAGTAAGCCTTACCTACATACCATTGACTGCCAGATTAGAAAGAAGTCATTTTAAAAAGTTCCCTAGACTAAGGTAAACTGTAGCATCACTGCAAAGTCTAGATAGACTCTAGGGAATTATACAAGCCTGGGTCTCCCCAGTAATTCTTTCCTTATCATCACTCCTTTTCTTTTCCCTCTTATTTTTCCACATTAAGAGAACCCTTATTTTTGCATAAGCATCCATCAGTCCTTGATCAAAGGGAGAAGAAATATATATCTAAACAACAACCCACGGTAGCCACACACACTACAGGTCAGCTTTGTGGCTTTGGGTGGTGCTCTTGCTTTTGGGATGACTCCGGGTTACCCCAGAGGAGTGACAGTAAGTTCTAAGTCACTAAACCATTTTCCAGAAGCACTTACTGGTGGCCAGGCTTAGCGTTTTTTTCATGAAGCATCTTGAATCCAATTGGTAAAGGTAGAATATGGAGGGATAATATGACAACCTGCCATATCAAACTTCAGGTCCTTTTTCTAAAACTAAATGTGCATTCAAAGCACATAGAACTCGCACCTATAGTTCCACTTCCCAGGTGATGTTGCTGCCCATCTGTGACCACATTTTGAGTAGTACTAACAAACAGGGTGATGCTTAACTAGTGACACCTATAAGGTGCAAGCATACCATATCTTTATCATAGATAAATTAATGTAACTTTTGGTACAATGTGGGAGGGTCCTGCTTATGAAGGTGTCAGTGGCTGCAGGCTCAGCGGCCAGCAAGATGACGGGCCTCCTTTTGTAGTCTTATGGAGAACTTGGGAAGTCTGAAAATCATCTTCACCTGTGTTGGACCATGTTTTAATGAACTTTTGTCTATATTTTCCTTGCATTCTCTACCTATGAAAACACCTGTTTTGAAGTTGTAAATAGTATTATTTTTCAGAGTCTATAAGGATAGAAATTTATTTCCCTACACAGTCATATTGTAGGAGCTCGTGTAGCTGTGGGGTTTCTCTTAGAACTCCATCTTTCCCCAAATGTCCATAAAGCCAAAGTTGATGAAAAGTAAATCAAAATTATAAAATTTACTTGTTATATTCATTAATAAATGTTATGTATTTGGAGATGATCAAAGTCACATGACAAGACTTCATTTATCTTTTAGGTTTTGCCAATTTCAAAAAAATCTAAATAAATATGGTTTTTATTTAAGAGCATAAGTTTCCAAAGTGTATATTCCCACACCGTTCTGAAGCATCTAAAACTTGTGAGTCATAGAAAAAGTATTCTCTGAGTCAATCACAATTGCAAAGTCTCTTTCATAACACCAAGACCCTGCATTCTTAATTTTTGTTGTTGTTCAGAAAATCTGATCCCTATAATCAGAAGAGTTAAATAAAAACAAACTAAAAAGCCCCCAAACAACATTTACAATATAGGAAAGATAAAAAATGAGGCAGAGGCAGGTGGATCTCTGTGAGTCTCAGACCAGCCTGGTCTACAGAGTGAGTTCCAGGACAGCCTCCAAAACAATACAGAAAATCCCTGTCTTGAAAAACCAAAAGAAAGTTTCATTGTATTTTCCAGAATACGCTTGGCTTATTGAGTACAAACCTTTGGTAGACCTCTCTAAAGCTAGAGGGCATTTGGCACTTTTGAATGTCCACAGAGCAGAGATCAGATAATATCAGAGAGGAAAACATCACATTTACCTTAAGCTTTTTGTATGTGAAAGATAATACTATCCTATGGGTGGATGGATAAGGGTGTGTTGGTGATGGGAGTAGTGCTGGGTATCTCTGCGTCATTAAGTAAGAGGAAAAGAAGGGGAAGGGTATTTCAGAATAAATCTTTCAAATCATCAAAAAAATAAAAAATCAGGTTGCAATGCAGACTATTAGGGAGGCTTTTGAAAATATGTTTCAACATGAGATACCTGAAGAAAGGTGGAGATGATAAGATGGAGAGTAAGAGTCCTTCCCAGAGTCCCCTGTTCTTACTTTGCAATGAAGTGGATCCCGTACTGGTGATCCATGTCTTGAGCAAACTGGTTCCAGAAATTCTTTTTCTCTAGAGCTTCATTCACTTCTTTTAGTCCAGAGCAATTCAGCAGGGCCTTCAGGCCATCTCGTACATAGCTGAGGCCCAGAGAAGAACAAGCATTCTAAGACAGCAACCTACACATAGCTGAGTGCATACAATCTGCCTCTCCATTCTTTCTTAGGAAGGATACAGTTTTAGAAGGAAGGATATTTCAGAAGATACTAGTAGTTAAATGTTTTTCATTTTCCCAAATGAACAGGGCATAGATGGCAAAAGTGAAATTTAAAGGGTAGCACATAGAATTTAGGTTGAATCATATTAACACCTTACTATCTAACCCAGAAATGTAATGACTTGGTAGAACTATCAATTTTCTTTGGGAGATGTCCTAAATAAGGATAGCTTCCTATCTCCTGATGGGTGATTTGGTGTGTATCTTTTTTAAAGGACAATGAATGGATTAAGTATTTTAAGCAGATCAGTTGTGCTCTGCTTGGCTTAGATGTTCATACCAGACTCAGCACATAGCGGACTGTTGTACTGAGACTTGCCTTTCAGGGCAGGAAAACTAAATCTCTTTTCCAAAAGGAAATCATGACCTTTGTCCTGAAACAGAATGCTGATGCCATACTGCTCTTACCCATATCATATACATATAAAACTAAGAACACTTTCAGTTTACAACTAATATTTGCACCCACTGTTCTGTTTTACATAAGCAGTAACTCTGAGAGGTTACTATCAGAGAACATGGAATGGCAGAGCTTGAACATATCTAACTTTGGATTTGGTGGCCCTTTTTGCTTTTTCCTTTTCTCACTGAGCTGACAGCAGGCTCAGCAGGAATGAGCAGTGTTCTGTGCTAGTGACTCTGTCTATGTGGTGCACACACGGAGGGGAGATCCTAGTCAATGGCCGTGTACTCAGGAGGAGTGCTTTTCTGAACATGCTCTGTCTTTAGAGAGAAAACTGGAATACATGTGAGCAGAACCTCACACTAGCTTATTGCAAGTCTCACATAAACCCAAGTCAGTTGTTGGACCCTTATCTCCCCACACCTCCAAATTGCATTGTCTTACAGAGGTCTGTCCTGTCCCGTGTCTTTTAAAAGCTGACTACAGTAGAAGAGTTGAAGCATGAGGGCCATCAGGAACTCAGGGAAAAGCTTGGCCACCACTTTCCTATAAGAATTCACAAGTAGAAAGGTGCACAGGGCCTGGGAAGCCTATTAGGGAAGGAAAATGGAGTTAAAAAAGGCAAGTGTCTCCCTCCAAACTGTCAGTCATACAAGGGGAAAGAAAGGCTGCAAGCCTTCCCAGACTCCTTCAGCGTGCATATGTATTCATTCAACCACACTCACTACATTAGCTGTGAAGCAGGAACTAGGCCAGGAATTCTTGTTAATGAAATTCCAAGGCACTGATAATGGTTCCCTTCCAGATGCCAAATTTAGGGAAAGGAAACTGATCCTCAAGGAGGGCTTATATCCCAAGGTCCCCTTCCAGTATAGCCATGAAGAATAATCTGACTAGTAAGCAAAGTCTTCCTTAGGCTACTTAAAAACCGAGGGCATCAAGTTATCCTTGAATCACTTGACCCCTGCATAGTGACCCCTACACTACTCTTTACCATCCATATACACATCCCAACACCTCATATAAATGAGCAACAACCCCTTTTTCATTATATTTCTCTCAGTTTCCTCTCAGGTGTGGTGATATTGATCCATGAGAGAAATGTGATAAACAAAGGTGATATCAGATACAGACATGACTACTAAAGTTTATATGGCTTAGCTGGTGGCTATCTCTCTACAGTCAAGTACAGTTTTGGCCTCGGGCAGTTTCTTCAGATTCTTTGGCCTTCTTGCCCTTTCAGTCACATCCTGACAGGTGTGGTAGTCTGAATGTAATTAGCCACCATAAACTCACAGGGAGTGGATTAGAAGGCGTGGCCTTGTTGGAGTAGACATGGCTTTGTTGGAGGAAGTATGTTACTGTGGAGGTGGGCTTTGAAGTCTCTTTTACTCAAGGTACTCCCACTGTCACAGTGTTCTCCCTGTTGCCTTTCGGTCAAGATGTAGCCAGCACCACATCTGCCTGCACACTGCCATGTTACCCATCAAGATGCTAATGCACTGAACTTCTGAACTGTAAGCCACCTCCTCAATTAAATGTTTTCATTTATAAAAGTTTCTGTGACCATGATGTCTCTTCACAGAAATAGAAACCCTAACTAAGACAACATGATTTCTGTTCTTCTCTCTGTCTTTCCAAGATGCATATTAGTTTTTTTTCTTGAACCCCCCCAGGATTCTGATTTCAAGTCAATTCAGTATGGAGCTGTGCCACTTCCTATTTACCTTAAACCATGCATGTCACCTTCTTCCCCTCATACATACTACTATATATTTCTTTTTATCTTGAAGGCAAACATTCCTTCCTTGTCTCTGTATCTTAGCAGAATGCATGCTCCATCATCAAGATGTGGCACACTATTAATGTGTTTTGGATGGATGGATGCATGACAGGGGCCTATGCCAAGGAGTGCAGATAGGAAGACAACAGAGAGTAGAAACATGCATATTGTCATTTACCGCCACAGGCATCATGTTGGTGGCATCGAGGGAGAAGCGTCTTCTTTCTACCAGGGTTCCCTCCACCTCTCCAGGCTTTCCTTTCAGTACTGACAAGATTGTCTTCAGAACTTGAAATGCGACACTTGACTCCGTACTCACTGCTTGCCACATCAGTAGCAGAGCCCTGCAAGTGCAAAGTCTTGAGAGGTATGCTTTCCATTTGCTATTTTAAATTCTGCATAGCCAGTAGAAGGGAAGTGATACCATTCCCTTCACAGTGTAGGAACCGCAGAAATAAAGCCATGTGGTTTTTCTAAGCTCTTCTAATGCCCCTGCTAGAGCTGTACTGGCCCATGAACTGAAAGTAATGGCTTTTACTCTTTAAGATCTCTTGCAATCCTATGTCATGAGTTTTAAGATAAACGGTTCATGGGCAGAAAAATTCTCAATTAGTTTTAATAACTAAAAAATTATTTTATGTTTTTACTGATGTATATGTATGTGGATGTCTGTGTGTGTGCACACATGGGTAGCTATGGATGACAGGAGAGGACATTGGATCACCTCGAGTTATAGGTGGTTTATAGGTGTGAGACCTCAGAATTTAACTCCATGTCTCTGTAAGAGTAGCACTTAACCACTAAGCTGTTTCTCTGACCCTTATTTTGGTAATTTGAAATATTTCTTTATTTTATTGGTGGGTATAAATAGCTTAAGTCTGTCATTAATAAATAAGAAAATCTCTATGTCTGGGAGATATTTCTCAAGAAAAACAATGAACAAAAATATCATTTTCCTTTTTGAAGTAATTTGTTTTGGTAAGATTTGTAACATAACCTAATTTAACACTCCTGTCCACAGTAGCTTTGAGGTGCTACTGTGTGCTAAGCCTTGCACAAAGTTAAACATAACATGTTTATACCTACATCTTATAGCCATCATAGGTGATGCAAAAAAAATGAATTTCTTTTCAGAAAAGGAAATTAGGCCTGACTATAATAAAGAAAGACTTGAGCTTGGACCATATGGCTGTGGAGCTTGTGACAAGTGTGTATAGAGGGGCAAGATGCAGAAGGCCTTACTTGTCCACAGGGACTGGGAACTCCAAGAGCTGAAAGATCACCTTCTTAGGGGAGGTTCTTGTCAGCAGGCTGATAACATTCAACAAGACAGCCTTCATAGCATGGGAGGAATCCATAGAGAGCTGCTCATAAATGTCATCCACAATTTTTGACACCTGGAAGAAGAATGTTGTAGTTCAACAAAAGTGTCATGTTCTTTGTGCGCCTTTAAGCCGAACCATTTCTTGGTTATAGAAATTCAACCTTTAATGGAATGACCAATGTAACAATTAACATAGAAATAAGCCATAGCAGAAAGTACATTTGTATTATTACAACACAAAGTATTTAAGGGTAGGGATAAAATAATTATGGATATTGGAAGAAATAGCTTTAGAATGGTAACTGGTCGAGGTGATATATTGCCGAACCATATTTTTGTTCAATTTGTCTTTGGTTAGTGACTTTCTGTGGTAGGAGCTAGTTTTACATATCCAGCTTCCTTTTTGGCCTTCTTGCCTGCCTTCAGTGATGTGGCTTCTTCTAGGATCTCTGAGTGTTCTTTCCAGTTCTATTGGAGAATTCCCGTTTTAGTTTAGGCAGATGACCATGAACCTCCCTCCCATTTCCCTCAAGTTGTTTTGGGTCTGTAGGATGCTCCTGCCCACAGCAGCACTCAGAACTCTCTATGAGGTGGTACTTTACCTTGCCTGCTGTCGGAATTTGTATGATCCCTTAGTCTACCTACTTTCATGGTGCATGGATGTGTGGGGAGAGGAAACTGAAAGTTCCGTATGTCTATCACTATCAGGGCTGTATTCATGGGTCCATGGCCTGACAATCTGTGTGGGGATCCATGCTCAGAAGGTCCTCTCATGCTTGTCTGAAGCTTGGAGTTCTTGTCTTGAAGTTTTCCATTTCTTAGATTTATAATTCAATCCCAATGGGATAATGGAGTACAGGAAATCCTTGTAATAGACGAGGCTTGCATAGTTCCCACAACTCCATTTACATGTTATGTTCACAGTGATTCATGTGCATAGAATTGTCATGGTGTGGAGAAGCTCAATGGGAAAACAAGTTGGATACCAGAGGCATCTAATTGAAACTCCAAATACTTGACTGGAAAACGATGACATAGAAAGGAAAAGAAAGATAGGGTGTCATGGTTTAAGGATGTCTTCCAAACGTTATCTCCCAGATGCAAACTGCAGTCTCTCTCTCTCTCTCTCTCTCTCTCTCTCTCTCTCTCTCTCTCTCTCTCTCTCTCTCTGTGTGTGTGTGTGTGTGTGTTTATCTGTACAGGTGAATGTGGAAGCCAGAAGTTGATATCATGAAGACTTTACCAATTCTTTACCCTATATTTTTGAGATAGGGTATGTTTGAGCCTAAATGTTGGTATTTTGGCTAAGCAAAAGAGCCCCAGGGATCTACCTGTCCCTGACCACCAGGGCTAGAGCCATAGACCTACTCCACTGTGTCTGGCTTTTACATGGGCTCTAGGTATCAAACTCAGGTCTCCATGGTTGCTCAGCAAGCATCTTACCCACAGAGCCATTTCACCAGCCCAATATGTGAGACCTGTAAGAAGTGACTAGATTCCAGGGGGGGTCAGTGTTCATGAGTGACTAGTATGGTTATCCCTAGGAGTGGGTTTATTATTGTTGGGGTAAGTTTCTGATAAGAAAATGAGTTTGGTCCCTTCTACTTTGTCTTAAAATATTCTCTTGCCTTTCCTACTTCTTCCATGAGGTGACACAGCAAGGACATAAATAAAAACTATGGGCTTCCCAGAACAAAGCACTGTAAGAAAAGGACCTCTATTCAGTATAAAGTATCCATTCTAAAAATAATCTGTTACAGTAATACAAAAGCAACCTATTTATTCTTTTCAACTTTTCCTTGTCAGTACGTTGAATGTGAGTGACGGAAGTAAAATAAAAACACTTGAGTTAGTTTTGTGTAACCCCTGGTAAAACTAAAATGCATATTCATGTATGAACTACACAGTACAAATTGCATTATTCTGTTTGAGCGAATTATTCTACTATTCACAATTCTGTCACTACACAAGCGCATATGAACAAAATATGCTAATAATGAAAAAGTAAATTTTCTTTTCACTTAGACATCTAATAGCAAATAAAAACATCCCAAATAATTGTGAGAGGGAGGCCATAAAGTAAAAGGAATAACTAACAAAACTTCATCCTTTTGAACTTTGAATGAGACATAGTTCTGTATTTCATGTTGTATTGGACTGCACAAATTCCTTAGCCAGTGCCACTCCAATCTGAGAGTACTTGAAAATGTTTCTTAAATGCTATGTACCAATTACAAAGGTATTTGTTATTAATATAGTTTTCTTTTAAAAGCCAACAAAATAAAACATGGCGAAACGTTCTAATATAGCATGATTGGTAAATGAATTTTCATTGTAACAGTCCCCACAATTTCCCCTGCTGAAACATTTCATAAAAGCCTCATCTGATTAGAGTGACTCAAGGAACAATAGCAAGAGATGGGGATGTAAAGAAATAGACAGATAACAAAGCTGAGAAGTGGACTTTTGAGAGCACACACTGTTCTTCTTAGGTCATTGCCAACTATGTTACCATGGTGATCTTCTGAGCATGATAATCCAAAGTCAGCTTCAGTAAGGATGCAGCCTCAAATGCTGTGTCTGTATCAGGTGAGGAAAGTTTCTTCAGGAGGGTAAACACGAAGTCAGTCAATAAGTGAGGCAGTAGTATTTGTCCCACACTCTGAAACCAAAAGGACATTTATGACACCAGTGTGAGCAAGACACCAAAGCTTAGACATTTCAGCGTGGGGTGGGGGGAGGAGCTCTGGACCTGGCAGAAGCAAAACACATTCATGAACTATGAAAATGACTTTTTCCATTAAAAATAATAGGAAGTGTATTTGTGGTAGTGATAGTGTAATGATGATAAAAACCCAGTTTATTATTATACAAACTTATCTTCTGCTTTTAAAACAATTTCAGTGCCAAATATTACCACGGATGTCTTCAAAGTTGTCAAGAAGAAATGTGGTTGGTAGAAGATTCTGGACAAACTATGATGAGAAATTAAAGCTGATGTGTAAGTATACATTTTCTTTTCAGTGGAAGAGACAGACAGACAGAGACAGAAACAGGGAGAAAGGATTAATGAGTGTGAACAAACACAGAAGTTCATGAGGTCTAACACTTCCTACGTAAACAGTTCCTTTTGAAGTTTGAGAAATAGCCCCAGACTACAAATGATGATGAGAGTAGAAAGGAAAAACATGCCACAATTTCTTTTTTTGCCTTTGCATGAAAATCAAGTCATCCATGCAACTGGCAAAGGACTCTAATATTACCAAGAGAAGATTCTACTTACTGTCTTTAAAGGTGTGGAATACTGAAGGCGCATAGATGACTCAGGAGTTTTGAGCATTTACTGTTCTTGCAAAGGACTTAGCCTCTCTCCCCAGGACCCACAGTGACTCATAACTACCCATAACTCCAGTTCCAGGGTATAGGATGCCCCCTTCTGACCTCCATAGGCACCAGACATGTTTAGAGTACACATACATTCAGACAGACAAAACACTCAATGTTTTAAAACAAAGATATGAATTACTGTTCCTTTTGCTCAATAAGACATGTCTGAGATCTAAGACAGAATGGGTTGCACCCAGCCCTCCACCCCTAGCCTGCACCTACTCAGCAGGCCATTGGGGGATGATAATGTTTGAAAGCTGTGGAAGAAAACAAAAGAACTACTGTGGCTTGGATAGGTAAGTGAACTGCTACCGTCTGCCCTACTTAAAGAAAGCCATATTTGATGCTGCAATGATAAACGACACACTTACTGAAAGTAAAAATAAGTATTTATTGTAGAAATTACTCACAAGAGACCAAACAAGTAACCCAGATGAGCCGAGTAGTTTTCCGCCGACGAACTGGAAGCTGAAAGCCGGAAAAAGAGACCAAGACTTCCGTTGTTCAGTCTTTCATACCTTCCTCTCCCCCCCACCCCCCCGTAACGCCCCTAGCCATGCCCAAAAGTGGGCCTGGCTAGTGACGTAGTTCACCGCCTATGTCCGTATACGTCTTTAGTCATGCCTAAAGTGGGTGTGTTTAGCGGTGTGGTAAACAGCTCTTTTATTACCTCATCTGTATGAGCCTCTAAAAGTCACATGGCTAATGGCGGCACACGGCTTTATCTTACACATATTTGATTGTAAAAATAAAATTTAAAATACCACTGGAAGTGATAATTCTTCATTTAAATATTAGTTTACTCAACAATGGTTACTCTAATTTCCACCTAAAATTACAGAAAAAAAATCAGTTCTCAGTGAAACCTAGAGTTGGTATTAGGAGATTTTTGTCTTGTAAAGCTGTGGACATGACAGTAGGTTGAATTAAAAATTAGAGTTTGTGGGCACAGTTAGTAAAGAGATTGGTGTAAGCACGAGGACCTGAGTTTGGATGGCCAGCAGCCATGTGAAATCTGAGGATTGGTGATGCATATCTGTGAGCTCAGTGCTTAGGGTTGGAACAGACAGGTACATCCTTGGAGCCACTGACTAGCTAGTCTAGCTGAATCAATCCACTCCAGATTCAGTGAGAAACCATGTTCTGAAAAATAGAAAATCAATTAAAGGCAGGTACCTGCTGTTAACTTTTGGACTCCATATGATCGCACAAGGATTGATGCATCTCCCCTCACACATGTACGCACAAATATACAGGCACACCCACACACAAGCCACACAAACACACGCACGGGGGTGGGGGCATGGGGGCACTCTACCAAGAGCATGCTAATTACAGAAAATCAGCTGGAATCTAGAGATCTCGTAGTGCGTTTATTATTGTTACATTGCAATGTTGCATGTTCCTTTTGCTACTTGATTTGGTGGCAGCAAAATATACTATAAACTGATGTTTCATAATCTGCCATGTATTTCTCATGTTACACATGCTAGTTTTTGAAAAACTCTGCAAATCTCTCTATGCAGCAGGAATGGGGGTAAGGGTGTGGGAGTGTCGGAGGTAGCCAGCAGGAAGTCCCACCCCTAGCTGAATACCTGACATTTGATAGCTTCTGGGAGAAAGAGTCAGTTTTCTTTAAGAATATGCTCTCTGTTGGTTTGCTGTATATAGCTTTTATTATGTTTAGGTATGTTCCTGTTATCCCAGATCTCTCCAAGACCTTTATCATGAAGGGGTGTTAGATTTTGTCAAAGGCTTTTTCTGCATCTAGTGAGATGATCATGTGATTTTTGATTCTCAGTTTGTTTATATGGTGGGTTACATTGGTGGATGTTCGTGTGTTGAACCATCCCTGCATCCCTGGGATGAAACCTACTTGATCGTGGTGAATGATAGTTTTGATGTGTTTTTGGATCCGATTTGCCAGTATTTTATTGAGTATTTTTGCATCAACATTCATGAGGGATATTGGTCTGAAGTTCTCTTTCTTAGTTGTGTCTTTATGTAGCTTGGGTATCAAGGTTATTGAAGCCTCATAGAAAGAGTTTGGCAAAGACCCTTCTGCTTCTATTGTGTGGAATACTTTGATAAGAATTGGTATATGCTGTTCTTTGAATTTCTGGTAGAATTCTGCACTGAGGTCATCTGGACCTGGACTTTTTTTTGGTTGGGAGACTTTTGGTGACTGCTTCTATTTCCATAGGGGCTATAGGTCTATTTAAATTGCTTATCTGTTCTTTATTTAATTTTAGCAAGTGACAGCTATCTAGACAATTGCCCATTTCCTTTAAATTTTCGAATTCTGTGGAGTACAGGTTTTCAAAATATGACCTGATGATTCTCTGAATTTCCTCAGAGTGCATTGTTATGCCTCCCTTTTTGTTTCTGATTTTGTTAATTTGCATGTTCACTCTTTGCAGTTTGGTAAGTTTGGACAAAGGTTTGTCTATCTTGTTGATTTTTTCAGAGAACCAACTCTTCGTTGCGTTGATTCTTTGTATTGTTTTCCTAGTTTCTACTTTATTGATTTCAGCCCTCAGCTTGATTATTTCCTGGCATCTACTCCTCCTGGGTGAGTTTGCTTCTTTGTGTTCTAGAGCTTTCAGCTGTGCTGTTAATTCTCAAGTGTAACTATTATCCAGTTTCTTCATGTGGACACTTAGTGTTATGAACTTCCCTTGTAGCACTGTTTTTAAAATGTCCCATAGGTTTGGGTATGTTGGGTCTTCATTCTCATTGAATTCTAGGAAGCCTTTTATTTCTTTTTTATTTCTTCTTTGACCCAGGAATGGTGCAATTGGGCATTATTCAATTTCCATGAGTTTGTACGGTTTCTGCAATTTGTGTTGTTGTTGAATTCTAATTTTAACGCATGGTGGTCTGGTAAGATGCATGGAGTTATTCCAATTTTTTGTGCCTGTTGACGTTTGATATGTTGCCAAGTATGTGGCCAATTTTTGAGAAGGTTCCATGCCAACATCAAACTAAATGGACAGAAATTCAACAAGATTCTGCTAAAATCAGAAACAAGACAAGGCTGTCCACTCTCTCCATACCTTTTAAATATTGTATTGAAGTTCTAGCTAGAGCAATATGACAACAAAAGGAGATCAAGGGGATACAAATTGGAAAGGAAGAAAGTCAAGCTTTCACTATTCGTAGATGAGATGATAGTTTACGTAAGTGACCCAAAAAACTCCACCAGGGAACTCCTACAGCTGATAAACCCTTTCAGCAAAGAGGCAGGATACAAGACCAACTCAAGAAAATCAGTAGCCCTACTATACACAGACATGTGAAGCAACCTTGTTTCTAATTTAAATTTTAGAATAAAAAAGATAAATAATATGAAATGAATCTGAAAAAAAAGAAATCCAACACCAGAAAAAAAATATGGTCTCTAGTAGGTCAACCACACTCCAGGGCAGGCCCAACACCAAAGAGTATTTGCACAGAACAAATTGCCCTTGATGTTTTAAATTTATTTTTTAATAGAAAATAAACAGGACACAAGGTTCAGATAGGGAGGTGATGGGAAGAGTTGGGAGAGAGGGAATGAGTGTGATAAAAATACACTGGATGAAATTCTCAAAGAATAAAAATATTTTAAAATGTCTGTGAAGAACACCATTGCACAAACATGAATTATTCTGAGTTTCTTTCTACAAATTCCTACAAGTGAGATTATTAGTTTGTATTGTGTGGACTTGTTTTGGTGAATGATATGTTCATGATCCTCTGTGAGTTATTCATGAAGTCTTGTCCTCAAAAACTGTTCCTATAGAAAATAGGAGTGAGAGCTTGCAAACTGTCTTCATGTTCAGTACAGTCTCCGTACTTCAGTGCTGTTTTGTACCTAGCACCCCTAGTGAGCAACCTCGCTGCTTGCCTCCCTTGAACTTGGCTGTGGTCTCTTGAGTGTCTTGGAAAAGCTTTTGATTCTTCCAACATGTTGATGTTCTTGTTAGAACCTTGGATTCTCTTAATCCTATTTTATCTACTCTGGAGGTCTACGTCTGTGTTGTCTAGTCATTGCCTTTCCATTCCCTGTAACCCTAAACTTTCTGTGGTTTAACAACAAGAAACTGAGTAACAGGTCCTAAACACATGGGACTAGGGCACTCCAGTCCAAGGATTTCTAAACCCAGCTGAACTCAGATGAGGGAGGATTCAAACCTGGACCTGTTAACAGTCTCAGGAGCCTTTGGGGAGGGGCCCCAAGAAGACTGCTCATCCCAGACTCAAGAGCAAAATTATGGTGCTGAGAGATCTATCCTCTGGCATTGTAAAAGAAGGGAGAGTGTGTAGACCATGAAGGGTTTGCTCAAAAGCTTACCTAGATTCCCAGTTTCCTTATGGAAATGGACATTCATACTCAACCAGCCTTGCAAGTTTTGAAGTTATGTGTACAAGAAAAAACCCTTGTCTTTATAAAAAGGCATCATCAGGTATATATTGCAAACACCTGTATGGTATCTTTTGAGTATGTATATATTATTTAAATACATTGCTTTGGCGTGTCTTTAGCCTTCCACAATTATAGGCATGTCAGTCACAAGAAAAGAACCATTACTCTATATTTGAAGTCTGGAAGTAAGAATATCCTACGTCTTCTTATCCTAGGAGATAGGTTGACTTGGGGGTCCTTCCCAGAACTTATGCTGGGGAGTATGGCTCAGTATGTATGTCTGAAAATTAATCCACTTGACAGCCCAACCTGGGCCCGGTGCTGGGAGCCCATAAGGCTCTAGTAAAAAGTATAAACTGTGAAGAATGAAAGAGTAATATTGGGTTATAGATATTAAAGGTTTCTTTAAGATTAAAATAGGGTAAAATTATTTGGCTAGTACTAAGACTTAGCACATTATGTAAGTAGTTCCTCTCCCCTTGTTAAAATGCTACCTCTATGCTAGTCAGGCTGGCCTTGAACTTGCTACTCCAATGTTTCAGCTTCCTGAGTACTAGAATTATAGGCATATATAGCTATACCCAGCTCTTTTTGTAAAACTTCATATTTTTTTAGTTACAACGTCATTCTGATATTTGTGGGGTGAAATTATCACATTTTAGAAAAGAATTGTTGACTCCATTAATTTTGTCAAAAAAATTTGAAAGTCACCCACATATAGAAGTATTACTAAGAAACATATATATAATTGACATCTTATAACAAGTAGTTTATTTTAAATTGCTATATTTGAAGATAGTTGACATAATTCCTTTTCTTATCATTTTTTATTTTAATTTTAAATAACTTGTTTTACATGTCAATCCCAGTTCCCTCTTCCTCCCCTCATCCTACACTCCCCTTCCCCCCCCAGCCTCCCACCCTATTGCCAATTCCTTCCACATAGGGGATATGTAGAGTCTGTCATTTCACTCCGGGTAGGGTCCAGGCACTCCCTTAAGAGTCCAGGCTGAGAGAGCATCCCTCTTTGTGCTATGGGCACACGATGACTGTTTGTATTCCAGGGATAGACACTGATCCACTGCTCAGGGCTCCATAGGTTGCCCAGGCCTTCTCACTGGCATAAACTTAGGAAACCCCATGCTCTGTGAATCATTTAGTCATTTGTATTTTTGAATAAAGAAAAGGAATCTTAAGTTATTAATAACATAAACTTTGAGGAAATAAATTACCATTAAGGGCAATGAAGCGTTTAAAACAAACTACACAGAACATACCTGGGCAATTTTGTTTCTGCCTCCTTGTGTGGTCTTGTATAGTAATTCAAAGTCAGAACTTGTCACGTGGAGGTTATCGGTTTCTCCATCACTTAGCCTGATGGATTTGGGTTTTTTAGCATTAGCTGTGTTAGGAAAAAGAATAGAAAGTTTTCATCTGATTTCTGTTTTAACATAAGACGTTGTTATTTACAGTTTCCTATCCAATTTTTGATGTCTACAATATTCTGGGTCCTTAACACTCTGCTCATGGCCTATTCTCATAAAAGCTTAAGGCAGCATGGGCCCAAAGTACTTAAATGGAACAGTGTTTAACACTTATAATTTGAGTTTTCTATCCAGTTTTCCCCATGACCATCACAAAGAATAGGCCATTCCTTCTTCCTTACTTTTTTCCTGTTTTCTGGTGCCCTGTATTTCTTTTCTTTCTTTGTTCTTTCCTCTTCCCTACTTGCTTCAGCTTTATTTGTTCTTTCTCTGGTTTTGTGAGGTGAAGGCTGCTCAGAACTGAGACCTTTCCTCCATTCTAAGGCAGGTATATCAACCTATGACTTTTCTCTTAGGAGTCCTTTATCTCCAGCCCACACATTTGGACACATTAGAGATTTCATTTTCATTCAGTTCAAAATCAATTTCTTGCATCTTTTTTATTTGAACTGCAGGCTATTTAGAAGAATGTTATTTTGCTTCCAAATGCTTTGGGGTTTCAGATACTGGTCACCTTGATTTCTAATTTAGGACCATTTTGTCAGAAAATAATTTCTTAATTTTTTAGCTTAAAATATCTATGTCATGGCTTATTTTTCTGTTGCTGATGCAGGATTCTATAAATGTCAGTTAGGTCATGTTGACTAAAGTCTACATCCTTAAATGATTTTCTGTGTGATTACACACTGCTGAGAAAAGTCTGTTGAAGTCTCTGACTGTAACTGTGGATCTTTCTCTTTGTGCTTACAGTTCTACTTTTTATAAGTTTATTTCTATTTTTATGATAATATAGTTTGTTTTTAGTGTTCATGATTATTATGATACTAGCTATTCTACCACTTCAGCAACACAAAATAGCTTTTCCCCAGAAACATTTTCTTGCTCTGAAATTCATCTTTTTATATTAATATAGTCCATAATCTGTTTCTGATTACTATTGGTATTTTTGTTATTTTAAAAATATTATATATTATTATTTCCATTCTAGTCAGTTACATATAACTCTACATTATCTTAATTGCTGCATTAAGTTTTATATGATACATTTTAACATAACATAGTTTATTTTTTCATGATTTTGTGCACAGTAGAAAAATCCTTAAAAGTATTGTTTCTCCCCTTCAAACTTTAATTCATTTATTCTCATTCATTTTTCTTTTATATTATTTTCATCCTTGTCTTAGAGTATCATTCAAAGATACTTAGATAAGAGAAAAAATATAAGTTTGTGTCATGTTAAATATTTATATAGTTTCAACTTCTAGTATTTTATTTCTCTGGTTAATGAAAACCTAAATTTTCACATTATTGTTTTGTTTTCTTAATGAATTTCTTACAACATTTCTTGAAATACAGATCTGATGGTAAAGAATGTTTGCATATCTGAGAAATATCTTTATTGAATTTTCTTTTGAAAGGTATTTTTTGGTGGCAAGAGAAAGTAAAATAATTTTTCTTTCTCTGTTTAATTGCCTCAGACTTTCATTGTTTCTAACGAGAAACATATTATAGGTAAATAAATCTTTCTTCTCATTCTAATTTAACATTTTTTATCTCTGGTGATAATTTAATTAAAATGTGTCTTTATTGTGCTTCTTTTATCTTTTTTGTACTTTATTCAACTTTTTAAGTCTATAAGTTGTAACTTTTATAAGATTTATAACATTTAGTCATTGTCCAGTATTTCTTACTTCTCTGTTTAACCATTGATAACTATTATTGCCGCAATCTTGTAGACAGTTAATTTTTCAATAATTGCCGTTAATGCCTGCCTAAGTGTTTTTCATTTCAGATAGCGTTTTGTCCTCTACAAGTTCAGTATGAGTTCATGGATTTCTTTCTCCTCTCTTCCTTTCTTTTTCTTCCCACCCTTCCTCCCCCTTTCTCTATTTTCTTCCCACTTGATTTATGTAACCCAAGTGTGACATCAAACTCATGACTCTCTCCGCCTCAGCGTCCTGAATAGTGGAACATTATGGGTCTTTTCAAAACTTGCTAACTCCACTTACCATGTCGATACTTTCCTTAAGTTTTAAAGTAAATAAAATATAGTTGTAATGATCGTCTTTAATGTCCCTCTGTACTAGTTAAATTATGTTGTACTTTTTGATAAGTTTTGGCTGGTTTTTATCCTCATAGTGGGTTGTATTTTACTTTCTTTTCATGACCGATTTTTTTCTTGTTAGTTTCTCCTAGAGACAGATCTGACTGTGTAACCCAGCCTGGTTTTGACATCAAAGTCCTCTTCCATAAATTTTCCGAGGGCTGAGATGACAGGTGTACACCACAGCACCTGATTGCATTTTAATTTTTATTATTGAATTTACCTTGCTGAATACTGGAACATTTTTTATTCTTAGAAGCAGGCTTCAAGTTTGTTCTGGTAAACAGCTACAGTATTTGGAACTAGTTTCCCCTATTAGCTTGTCTTTTAGCATCTTAAATGACAAATAGCATAATCTGAGGAGACTTTTTCTTTCTAATGAGACAAACCAATTCTGCATGACTTGTGAGTAGTGAGATCTTACATTCTGGCTTATAGGTGTTTGGGCACCCAATATAGCCTTTGCTAGCTCCTTGAATCTTTCATTGTAAGAGCCTTAGTGGGGAGGGGGAATATGCCTCTTCTAAATGCTTCCTCTCTCTTCCTGACTTCACTTGTAATCCTTTTCCTCACCATTAATGGCCAACACTAACCCAAGAAGTGTAGATAGACCTTGAAGCTGCAAATATCTTGAAGTACCAGCTGTTTAGTTACAAAAAAGTCCGTGACAATGCTTACGTGATGTTTAAAACCGTATTTTAGAAAGTAAGGACACAGATCTTGGGGTAAGATTTACAAATAAATCGTAGGCAAAGTAGCTTCTTCAAAAGTCAGATAATTAGAGCAAATTTTTAGTATAAGAAAAAGATGGTGAGCTGTACTTACAGTTCTGACACATTGCAATGTAGAGGACATAATTCATGCCTGAGGATGCTTGTTGTGTGATTAAGGGATCTTCATGGGCACACAAGAGTGAGAGCTCTGCTGCCATGACACCTAAACACGGAGCATCGATACTTGGCTAATTGGAAATCAAAGGAGAAAATGCATTAGATTTGAATAGTCAACATTAAAAGTTTGTATTGGATCCTCTTAAGTAGTAGGGTACCACTTAGCAGTGGTTTTCAACCTGCAGGTCATGACCCTTTGAGGGATGAATGTCCATTTCACAGGATTCATTTAAGACCATCAGAAAACACATATATGTACATTACAATTCACAACAGTAGCAAAATTAGCTATGAAGTAGAAACAAGAAACTGTATTTAAGGGTCGCAGCATTAGGAAAGTTGAGAACCACTAACTTAGAGTCTTGGAACCCTGTCTGTATACAGCTCCTGGACTCTGCTGTTGAGGCTCAACTTTCTGTGCTGTGAAATGAAAGTAAGCAAATGCTGTGTTTATAACAGGTGCTGTAGGCAAAAGTGATAATGTGTGTGTGCGGGGGCAGGGGGTTCCTAGAGAGCTACTTGAGATAATACTAGTATTACATTAGTTTATATTTCCTAATCCAGGTAGCAGTTGATAGATAGCAAAAGCCTCTATGAGGAGTGAGACACCAGTGGGCAGAGACCTGTGGGCATCTCCTGTCAGTGCTCAGCTCAGTTCTAAAGTTTTGGAGAATTTCAAACTATTGTAAAGCTCCAATTTCCCCATGAGAAGTGCTTTAAATCACTCTGTGAGTGAAATGTGAAGTTATTTTCTTCCTAGAGTTTATTGACTCTTCCTAGAGAAATTAACTTAAAAAGACTCCACAAAAACAAAGCCCTCAAACCGTGTGCTTCCCACATCCAAGCTACAGCCACAGTTTATGCATCTCTCCCTACACTTTGGCACATGAGCTTATTGGATATTTGGATTTTTGTCTTGGATAATTTATCTGTCTGGATTAAAGGCAATTGCAGAGACATAAATGGAGATGAGATGGATGGTGCTTGTTTTTATGAAGATATGCATACCATTTATCAAGTTTGTGGAAGACAGTTCTTTTTTAAAGATAAATGGCTTCATCAGTCAATAGTTTCGTGTACTAGTGGCATGGCTGTCAAGATGTTCCTTGTTATTAAGATGAGTAATTGTTATCCTAGATAGATGGTTTTGCCATTTGCTGGTGCAGGTTTTGGTGGAGGAAGTTAAGCTCCAAATGCACCTTCTAGAAAGATGCCAGGACCTGCTTTATTTCTTCCTACCCCTTCTGTGCCATTTCTTTGTGTCTGTCCTCCCCAAGGTCCTGTGACATTACCCAAGGCCATAAGTGAATTGGGATGCTGAGGGGGCTGGCATCAGTGGGAGAAGAGCAGATGAGATGGATCTCTTTCTTCTGTGGGTGTCCTTAAAGCCTTTTTGCCCACACTTCTCTGTGTCACAACTTTCCACTTTAGGAGTCCTACAACCCAGAATCTGCAAGTGGGTAACAGGACCCACCTAGTTCTAGGGAAATGTGCTCCCATTCCCTGTGTGTCCTGCTCTTTGGGTCAGCCTACCAAATTCCTTAATTCTATTGACTGGCAAGATCTTAAGGACCACTCCTGTGTTATGAACCGAAGGAGTGTCGATGGTGAATATTTCTTTGTATGTTTGACCCGATAAAGCAATACTTCATAGCTTAGGTCACCGAAGCTGCTTATAGGGGAGGTCCTAGGGTATATGTGTTACAGTTCTTGCCTTTCATGCTCTCTGATTATTCCTTCACGTGACCATGTGGATGTAACTTCTGAGTACTTACATTTGCAATGAAAGCTATTGATAATTTCTCTCTGTATGCTGGACAGGTTCTGTTTGGGCCCATAGCTTTAACATAGTAGGTATGACTGTCTAGACTGCTAGTGTGGTATGAGTTAGGATTGGCTATGAGAAGAGGAAGGCAGACTATTAAATTGGACACAGTTCTTTCAGATGGTGTCAATCACAGATATGCCTTTCAAACATTAGGTCTTATGAGAACTTTAAAAGGATATGCTCAAATTTTGTGGAAAATCTATCCAAAGAAGAAAAGATCTGGAGAAAAGCTGTGTTGCTACTAATGTTAAGGACTCCCATTCAGATTCCTAACCTGTCCCTTTTTATTGCAGATATTTACAGATCCTATCTTTCTTCAGTTCCTTGTCTTAGAAACAACGATGAATTTAGGAGCTAGATGTCAAAGGTAACCACTTCTAAGCATTTTAGCTGCTTCTTCTGGAACTCATACCTGTACCTAACAATTGGCTTCCTTTTATTTCCATCACCAGGTGAATAGAGTTTATCTCTTTATTCCTGATACAACAAATCACACTTTAACTCACATTTTCTGCACTACAACAACTCTCTTGGTAGAGGCATTCCCTTCTTTCTTTTTAAGTAAATTTTACAGTGTGTGTGTGTGTGTGAGAGAGAGAGAGAGAGAGAGAGAGAGAGAGAGAGAGAGAGAGAGAGAGAGAGAGAGAGAGAGAGAGAGCATGTGTGGAGGATAGAAAATAACTTGTAGGAAATGGTTCTCTCTTTCTACCATGTGAGTCCTGGGAATGGAACTTAGGTCATTAAGCTTGAAGGCAAGCATATTTCACCCACTGAGCAGTCTCTACTGCTCATGCTTTTATTTCCCGCTACATATGACAGAGATAATGTGTTGATCATCTATTTTATGACAAGTAATTTGGAGGGCTATTATTTCTCTTAAACTTCCCTCTGCTACTTTTAATATCCTCCTCCTATTAACTACACTCTTTCAATCTTTCATCATGGCAAAAATATATATGTAAGATTTGCTATTTTAATCATTGTCAAGTATATAATTTGGAAGCATGAGATTTACCCATAATGCTTTGCAATCATCATCAGCGTCTGGTTTCACAGTGTCTTCAAGTAGATAGTTACCCTTTGCCCACAAAGCAGCTGCTCGGTGCCCCTTCCTTATGGGTTCTGGCACCCACACGTCAACTTTCTGTATTAAGATTTCTCCATTGCATCTTTTACATAAAGGAGATCATACTTATGGTGTTTCTGGCTGGTATGATGCTTTGGCTGAGTGATATAACATTGTATAACTATGTCATATCTTGTTTGTCCATTTGTCAATACTGTAGCACAGAATATGTAGTTATATATACATATACATATGCATAATCAGAGAACAGAAAATTATTCTTTGTGTCAGATACTGAGAGTGACATATTAGACCTGTTAGAAGCTCAGCTTTTAATTTATTAACAGTAGTTTGGATTATGTTGTTATATGTATATAACTATATATGTATATATGAATATTTATAAATATATAATTGTTTTATAATTAAATATAAAATATAAATATAGATGTAGATATGCTTTATATATAAATTTCATTAAGCTAACCATTCGCTAAGACATTATTTTTTCCAATATATTTTTATTTAAATTAGAAACATGCTTACTTCACATGTCAATCCAGCTCCCTCTCACACCCCTCCTCCCTTGCCCCTTCACCAGCCCCCCACACACAATCCCCACACCATTCCCCAGGGAGGGTGAGGCCCTCCATGAGGGATCTCCAGAATCTGTCATTTCATCCAGGGCAGGACCTAGGCCCTCCCCGATGTGTCCAGGCTGAGAGAGCATCCCTCCATGTGGAATGGGCTCCCAAAGTTCATTTGTATGCCATGGTAAACACTGATCTACTACCCAAGGCCCCAGAGATTGCCGAGACCTCCTCACTGACACTACATTCAGGGGGTCTGGATCAGTCCCATGCTGGCCTCTCAGCCATCAATCTGGGGTCCAAGAGCTCCCCCTTGTCTGGTCAAGTTGTCTTTGTGGATTTCACCAGCACGGTCTTGAAGACATTATTTAAAAAAGCAAGTTGGGTTAATGAAGTTTATGCTCTCACAACCAAAACAAGCAGCTGGTATCTAGCAATGTCCTGAAAAATGCTGATGTGCTGCCACCTGGTGGCCATTAGTAACCACTGTAAACCACTGAAGTACTAGGCGGTCCTATTGGGACTTACCCGATCTGTTGTAACTAACAATTTGTGGCTTTGGATTCACACCTGAATATGTGTGGTTACATTCTTCACATCTGAAGTGTCCTGTGAGCAAAGGAGCATGTCCTATGCTATAGTAAGAGAAAAAGAGAAGGGAGTGGTCGCATAAGACACAACTCCCAAATGTTTGACCTACTTCCTGGGAGTGTATCAATATATTCGGAGAGAAGCATGTGAATAGACCGCAGATAAACAGTCACCAAATAATTGCTGGGTGGATAACATGTGTTAGGAACACAGAAAATATATGAGAGATGAGCTATTCTTAATCTTAAGCCTCATTCAAATGGTTAAATGAACAATTAGTAGAGTAAATATAAATGTTATATATATAAAGACCAACAATTCAGTGAGCTTGACATTAGACTCCCTGTAACTTCAATCAGCCTCTAGGCTGAGAGCTGAACTTTAACCCCATGAGAGACTCGCAAACCAGTGAGTCTAGTTATTGTACCTAGACCTGTGACCGCTTGAAAATTACCTAGAGGATAAATTAGAACAGGAAATATTGACAAAAGCATCCACAAGAGGGAAATGTTCACAGTGTGAGGTTTCTGAGAAGGTAGGCATTGATGTATTCAAAGCAGAAAGCTTCAACAAAGTGTGGCAATTAGGGCATCTCTTCGATTTCCACATGGAGTTTAACAATTATGTCTAATAACATCTCAGTATTTGTGAGGCTGTGAGAAAATGAGCACTCTGAGAATACAAACCATTTTTAATGAACCGTAGTCACTCACGCCTTTCCCCTAATAATTACTCCACTAAACATGTCCAGATACACATCCAAAGACCTGCACAGACTGCTCTGTGTTGTGTAAGATAGAAAAATTAAAACGCACCTTTATAATCATCAACCTGAAAGTAAGATATGTCAATCGTAATGTGCCAAAACCAGGAGATACTCATTGCATTTCCAAGTGTGAAATAAAGTTACATGGACTGAAACTACACTGGACATATTGTTAAAAAGACTGAGGAAGAACGACAGGTAAACAGAGTGAAATTGTAGTAAAGAAAAACGAGGTAATGCACATGTGACTTTACAGGAGGACACATATCACACTGACAGGAACAGAGTGCAGTGAAGAGGAGAGTGAGGGAAGGTGTAGATGTTAGTGTGGTAAACAGTACAAGAACTCAAGGGTTAGCTGTTGGGAACATGAAGATCCTTGCACTCACAGATAGCACTACAAAAACCAGGGATGTTAAACACACAGAATTGTCTTTTCAAGAAAAATGTGTATAACCTGTTTTTTTCTATCGAGAAGGCTGGGAATGGAGGTGGCTAATAACCTGGTGATTTGTATTATCTGCATGACTAGGCTATACCAAGCTCCCATAAGCAGGCCCAGAAGTGGCAAATGGTCTAGTTGACTTTTGCATTATCTGTATAGTTGGGGCCTACCCCTAGCTCCTACAACCAGTACTGGAGGTGGCTAATAGCCTAATGGACTCTACACTATCAGTGTGATCCAGACCACACCAGGTCCTTAAGGTAATACAGGTAGCCTAGCTCTAGAACCTGTCTTCTTGGAAGATGGGACATGTAGTCTGAAAAAAAGTTTTGATATAATTATGCCTGCTTGTGCACAGGGCATTGTATTACACCAGGATACTTTTTTTTTCAAATCCTACTGTACTTAAATATATTCACAGTAACTCTAGAAATTGGAACCAGCACCAACTAATTAGTGTTGAACTGAATTTCCTGCCTGCCTCACGTACATTGTTATTCAATGGGCCATGGCATTTGCCAAGGCCCCCCACAATTAGTAGTACGAATTTAAATAAAAAGGTTTCAAGACACTCTAGAAAACAGGGAAGAAGGATGATATGTGTGACATTATAAATAACACTGGGTCACCAGAGAAGAGTCTAGATAGCAAAAATCTGGGGTTTTAACAAGTTCACAGTATGTGTATAAAGGTAGAATGCAGTTTAGTTCATTGGAGAAAACATTGCTCTAATTGAATCACAGTCATGTAAGCTGTTTACACTTTATAGACATCTCTGTCTCCCCACCCATTGGTACTGAGCCAGCATCAGTGATCTCAAGACCTAAGACCTGGCAAACAGTCCTCTACAAATGCAGTCTTGAGTCATTGACTTACGCATTTTTTGGCTCTCTTGGATGCAAACATTAGCACTCTCGTGATGATCAGCATTGCTCGTTCTTGCAGGTACTGTTCATTCTGATTCATCCACGTGGTCATTTCCTATTGGAAACATAACAGCTATATTAGAACCACAATTTTTTTATTTATGAAAGGCTCGTCTTTGTAGTTTCCAACTTTACCAAGGCAGTCAACATTGTCTACGGATTAATCCATATGTGATCTCATTTTCTCTACAACAAAGACCCAACCCTCCAACTATTGTGCAACTTCTACTATTATACTAACACATTTGTGCTTTATTAAATTTATTCAGCAGTTACTAATTTTCACTATAATCTAAATTTTTAGGTATCATTAAATGTTTTGTATGAGACTATGATGGTATGACAACTATTAACTTCACTAAGCTTTAAAAAGTATAGTGTTTGTATTTCACCCTTAAGAGATTATTGAAATTGCATCTGATCCAGAAATATCACCTTAGCTCAGAATTATTCTGCCTCCTGATTTATATATTCTGAAGACAGCATTTTAGGTTCTGTGTGCCTGCATAACTACCACCATGAGGACACCACTAAGATTTACAGCTCATACCTTCCAGAGATGTGGATGGAGTCACACCTAGACCTGCCTCAGCCACATCCAGGCCAGTGGAGGTACGGTTTGCTGGTATTTGAAGAGCAGAGTGTCCAAGTGGTGTACACCAGTTAATGCTGTGGTCCTAGGGGTACCTCTCCAGAAACTGTGCCCTTGAGGAGCAAGCTTGCCTCAAAGATCGCTAAAAAGGCTTCATGATCTTTTTCTATTGTTCAGATGGACAGAACCTGGCTTTCTCTTGTGTAGATCAATCTCTGGAGTAAGCAGTCACTTGCCTAGTTCATTCGTATTCTCTCTCAAGCACACTTGTCTAGGGTGAGAGTCAGATATTTGCATTCTTCAGCACTTTTATTTAAAACTTTAATATTTAATTCCTGCTTTCTTTCTCTCCTTTCACAATAATTGACAGAAAGAAGCCATAAAGTAAGATGCACACTTTGCTACTTAGAAACATCACCTTCTGGATAACCTAGTTCCAAAAGGGAAATGAGCAGATGAGATGGAGTTGCTGACATCCTAACTTCTCCTTCCACAAGAGGATTTTACAGTTCTGTCTTCCCCAGAATTCACACTTCTTCCAAGTCTCCGTAGCTGTGTGACAAGATTATCTTTTATTCTAGTCTCCAACACCTCATTCCTCCTCTCTGAGACTTCATTTATATGACCTTATTTTTTGCATCTTTCTACCAGTGTCCTGACTGGGATCATTTAAGTAGTCAATAAGAAAATTTAGGCTTTGATTATAGCTTGTCTTCTGGCTCTCACAACAATGGCTCTAAATTTCCATTCATAGCAGTGGAGGGTTTTTCTAGTTCATGTGGTAAACATGAAGATAAACTGTACATGAACATATGTGATAATTTTAAATGTCAACTTGACATAACCTTAAGTCACCTGGGAAGAGAAACTCTATTGAGAAACTTCTTAAATCAGTTAGGCCTCAAAGTGTGTCTGAGAACCTGTCCTGACTGTTGAGTGATACAGGAAGATCCAACCCACTGTGATGGCATCATTCCCTGGGCATGTGGTCCTGGACTATATAAATGAAGAAAGCTAGCTGAGCATAAGCAACCTAGCAAGCAGACACCCAGGGTGTATCATTTCTCTTTGCTCTTGACTGTGAATATGGCCCGCTGTCTGAATTCCCGCCATTGTGACTTCTCTGTAATTATGAATTATAGCTTTCAACTGTAAGTCAAATAAAGCTCTTCCTCTCTTAAGGTGCTTTTGTTTTTGCAAGCTGTTTACTCCCAGCTACAGAAATCAAACTATGGTAGAGTCCTTAACTCCAGCACTGGTGGAACAGAGTGCAAAAGGCATCGTCACAGAGTTGACATTGTTGTGTAGACTTGAAGGGAGCAGGGTTCTTTACTACCCCCTAACTCCCATGTTTCCACAGAAGACATGACTTCTCAGTAGCCATTAGCACCATTTCCTAAAATTTAACCTTTAATAACACAAATAAAGGAAATGGTTAACTCCGTGAGTAATTTCACACCATTTGAAACCTTAGAAAAAAATTTCTTGCCTCCCAGTACTAGATGGAGAGACAAATATGGCCAACTAAAAATAAACAGTGTGCTCAACTGTTTACACTGTAACAAAACCATGTGCTTTGCTTTTACCTTTAAGATCTGTATCTTGTAGAAGTCTTTAGACACTAAGATAATAAGAGTATCTTCATATACATTGAAAATATTTTTATATAAATTCTGAAATACAAAACAGAAATGTGCAATCAGCCAGCCAGTCTTAAACAAAAGTTTACCAAATGTGTACAGCTTTGTATTTAAGTGTCCCAGTTTCCCCTATAAACTTAAGAGAAAGGAGGGAGACAACTCTTCTGTTAAGACCTATCTCATTATCATTTTCTTTATTTTATTTTATTTTATTTTATTTCCCAGTTTAAATTTAGATAAGAAACAAGGTTGCTTCACAAGTCAGTTCCAGGTCCCTCTCCCTTTCCCTCCCCTCCTCCCGTGCCCTCCCCCCAACCCCCCCATTATCCCCTCATTTTCTATCACTCACTAGCATCTTCTATCATTCCTTAGCATCCTCTGTCACTTATAGTATCTTCAATCACTCCTAGAATCTTCTATCACTCATTAGCATCTTCTATCACTCATAGCATCTTTTTAAATTTTTTATTTAACTTTTTAAGCATGTCACTTTCAGTTCCCTCTCCCTCCCCTCCTCCCCCACCCCGCAATCCTCCCAACCCCTCACCCCCACTCCATCCCCCCTCCGCTCCCCAGGGAGGGCAAGGGCCTCCATGAGGGATTTTCAGAGTCTGTCACATCATCCCAGGAAGGGCCCAGGTTTTTCCCCATGTGTCCAGACTAAGAGAGCATCCCTCCACGTGGTATGGGTTCCCAGAGTCCTTCTGTATGCCAGGAATAAATACTGCTCCACTCTCCAAGGTCCCGCAGATTGCCAAGGCCTCCTCTCTGTCACCCAGGTTCGGTGGGAGGGTGTCTGGATCAGACCCAACTCTCCTTAGCATCTTCTATCACTCATTAACATCTTATATCACTTCTTAGCATCCTCTACCACCCACAGCATCTTCAGTCATTCATATCATCTTCTATCACTCATAGCATCTTCTATCACTCCTAGAATCTTCTATTACTTATTAGCATCTTCTATCACTCATAAAATCTTCTATCTCTATAGCATCCAAAGCATATTCTTTCAGTTGCAGCTATGGCTTAAGGCTCACATGCATCATGTAGTCATGTGGACAAGACAGAAACCACAAATGTTGCTGATGTTAGCATTCTTGGTATCAGTATTTTTTTGTGTCTGCTCTCTCCTCCCTTTCAGAACTTCCCAACAAGCTCTTTTATCTTGTTAAACCCATTAATTCAAACTATTTTCACTCACTTATACCTATAATCCTTATACAATCTGTTAAATCTTTATAGTCATAAGGATTTAAGGGAAATGGGCTAATGATAGCAAATACTATCTGATAGACCAATAGAGACATAAGTGGTAGATTCTAACTACAGAAGTGCACCAGGTAGCTTGCTGTGGTGTGTGACGAAGCTTTGTCATCAGTAACTGAAGAAGGAGCCTACCTCTATGTCCTCAATGTCTTTAGGGTCTTTCCCCATTGATTTCACTCTGTTAAGATTTGGTAAGGAAAACAGCTTTTGGAAAGATATCTCTATTATCTTCAACTGTGCCTCAAATTGCATCAAAGGATCAACAAAACTGACAAGAAAAAGGAATATAATTACTAAATCAGTGAGATTTCAAATGCAACCTAACTTGATTGGGATTTTCTTAGCACAAAAGTACTAAGTGTGAGGTACAGTTTGCGGCTTTATATGACACATCGGTTTTGATATTCTCTTAACAAGGATGCTTTAAATATGAAAGAGTGATGTTATTTGAAAATATTGTATACAGTTATTTAGAAATCAGAATATATTTCCTTAAAAATAAAGTTATAAACTGATTACACACCCAGCCAAAACCACAAATGTGTACTTCAGATAGCTGGGCAGTATTATTAAATTTTCACAGCCAGTGGTACTGCTTTACACATGTCAATATTTCTAGTATTGTATGCATCTTCAAATTGCTTGCAAAAGAAACCTACCCCACCATCAACCAGAAAGTATCTGATTATCAATGCAATTCAGAAACTCAGGAGAGAGTCTAAAAGGGAAAACAATGCTTGCTGAAGTGGGTTGAAGGAATTGAATGTAATCAAGTTCTTATGATTATGTTTCACGTCTATAACACCTACAAGATATTTAGTTAGTGAAACCAGGGATCATTATAGCTTACATACCTAGAGTTGATGGCCAAGATAATGGATTGATCACTTAACAGGCCTGCGTATGTATCCACTAGGATATCAGCTTCAAATTCCTAAGGATCACAGAAAAAAAAATAAAATCCAAACAATCAACAATTATAGAACAGTTATATTCATAACACGATGTTCAGTTCTCCCTTTTACAGAGAATAAAGGAAGCAAATCAGATTGTAAATGGAAGAGTTCATGGGATTAAAACTAGAAGTTCTGAGACTCAACCACAGTATTGGTGACTTTTTACAGCCAGGCATTATGACTTTGTAACATTTCAGACTAAATATGTATGGGATGCTGTTTACCAGGTGTGTGTCTGTATACCACTTTGAGTGCAATCTATTCAGTATAGTGTCAATCTGCAGTAATGTTAGCTGGGTAATTGAAGTCAAGTTTTACTGAGGAACATGTAAATTCAGCCTAAAGAATAAGGATCAAGGCCATTTAATCAGCAGCTATCTAACATAACCATGTAACCATGAAACACAGTAAATAAAGACATCTCAATAAGAATATGTAATGCTTCCCTTCCAAACTGAAAAACTAGACTCCAGTTCACCAAAGCAACCCATAGAAAAAAGAGTGGAGGTATCAACACATTTTAAAGTGATGAGAGAGCAGGCCTGAAAACAGCATCCCCAAAAAAGCAATGAAGTGGAACTGAGATTTCAGGAATACTTTTACCCAAAGATAGTCAGTCTAGTATGGGTACCAAGAACATAAAATGGCAGAAGAATGGTCACAATATGTATTGAGGTATATGATGTTGGACCTTGTCTTGTGTTATATGCAAAAATTAAGCAGCTAATCTAGCAAAAACTAAATCTAATATGACAACTACAGTACTCCAGGAAAAATTCCCCTGAAATTGGCCTTGACATTGAATTTTTGGTTGGGCATTAAAGCATAAGCAACAAAAGTGAAAGTAAACCAAATTTTAATTAAACTCAAAAGTTTTTTCAGAGAAGGGGAACATTCAAAACACAGTAAAATAATATGTAGAGTGGATGAGAAGAATGGCAAAGTGCACTTCTAAGAAACCATTGGCTTCTGAAACACCTTGAGAACTTGATAAAGACAAATGGACTTTTCACAAAGAATGACTGAAGAGCCCCTCTTTCCTATACGCACCTCTCCTATCCAGCCAAGCCTCTATTGCAACATGGCTTTCAGGCCAAGGAAATGCTTGATCCCTATTTCTGATATATTATAATGACATCTCTAATGGGATCCAGTCCCTCTAATGTACAGGCAAATGCATAAAACTGATTAATTGCTACCATGGGAGAAAAATCTTGTCTCTATTTGCTTCGTGCTATTACTGAGTCTCCAGTCTTGTGGGATCTGGGTAGGGCTGCTTGCCTGGGTATTAAATTAGGAACTTCCTGATTGGGGTCTGAACTAAGAAAATGGCATTCCCCTTCAGGCAAAGCAGTCTGCCTCAGACATAGCATTCTGCCTCATACACAGCCATAAAACTCTCCCTAGTTAGGGGTTGGAGAGATAGCTAGCAGTTAAGAGCACTTACTGCTTTTCCAGAGGGCCAGGGTTCAATTCCCAGCATCTATATGGCAGCTCACAACTATCTTTAACTCCAGTTCCAGGGGATCTGATCCCCCATGGCAAAACACCAACGCACATAAAATAAAGGTAAATTAAAATTAAGAAAAAAGAAGATCTCTCCCTTTCAAGTTCACTAGGATTGGATGGCACAGAGAAGTAATTCTCCTTTCTCTTTTTCTTTCTCTTACAATATCAAATATCATTTTGTGTAACCTTTAGGGAATGATCTATACTGTTAGCATGTAACATATTGCTGGAAGAAAATATCTACACATCAGACAACCTTTACTATAATATGAAGCTCTATGGTATCTTGTCTATCTTGAAATCAAACATCTTTGTACTATTCACTCTGTCATTGAACCAAAAATTCACTGCTCCTGTCACCTTACATTGACTAACCTAACAGTCTGTCTTTGACCAGTCATGATCATGCAGAGTGTTTCTCAAAAATTAGCTTCCAATTGGCATTGTGCCCTTGAAAATCAGTTAGTAATATCCATAATGTCCTATGGTGCATTAAAAGGCTAAAAATATAGATTATGATGATTAAGCTGCATTTCTAGATATTTTTCATTAATCCCAGTCACCAACACTTTGTAAAAGTCTTCCAGACAATTCTGAAGTGCAGCATTCTTCCCTACTAGACGGCTGTGTGTTCCAAGGTCAAAATTTCACCTGTCACTTTTGATTATTAATGGTGTCATGGATGACTCCAGGGAAACAATATCTTCCAGAAAAAACAAGGCCGATGTACATGTGAACTCACAGAGACTGTGGAAGCATGCACAAGACTTGGACTGGTACAAGCTAGATGGGGTCCCAGCATATTGTATGAAAAAGTTTTAATAAGCAATATCACCATAATTAATTCTAAATCCTTTTCATTTTAAATCTTTAGCATCATAATTTATTCATCCAATGTCCTATCCCCAGGGCAGGCAACTGTTTTGTTTTTAGTGACAACTGCCTTGGTGATAGGCTACTAACTCTACTCCCAGACTTGGAGTTCTTATGCTGGTTCTTTCACTTGATAATTATGTCACACAGGCAAGTCACCTCTTGCCAATTTTTGCCTATTTTCAAAGTGGGGATAGTAGCACTTCCTCTAAAGGGCTGTTATGAGGAGTGAATGGTAGTTCATTTTAAGCATTCAGACATGCTTACGCATATGTCCCAAGTGTCTACTATGTATTAGCTGAAGCTGTTGCTTGACTGGGGAAGGTTGCTCTGTCTCTTTTTCTGTCTGCCTCTCTCTCTTCCTTCCTAATCTGAGGAATTTTTCCTTCTTCCTTCTTTCCATGTGCCCTTTCTACTTTCATATTCCCTTTTTCATTCATGGCACAATAGCTTCTCTTCCTCCCACTGGTCATCACTTCTGCACAAAATGAATAGTTACTTTTCTGACCTCTAGTAGTGAAGGACGAGAAAAATGTCCAAAGGCCTAGAAAAAAATCATAGAAGATGAGTAGAAAAAGACAGATGTCATGGGATGTGAAGCTGAGGGGGGTTGGGCTGCAGTTTGATGATTTCCACAGTAGTGGTATCCGAGTGAGGAGACTTGGGGAGCCATCAGGTTGTGATGGTGGGTAGAAAACCAGTAGGCTTGGGGTAGACCCTTTTGAACTGGTGCTGAAGGTCATTTTTAAATCTTCAGGAGAGTGACTGAGACCATAATGCTATAGAGGAGGATAATGTAAAAGACGGTTCCCCACCGAGTTGTCTCCATCTACCTACACAAGCTAAGTATTAGCTCTAATATATTTGCAATAGAGATGGTGAGTATGATTTTTCCCCTTGGAGGAGATTTCAGATGCACTAACAAATGTCCTTATCAAATGCCACATACCACATGGTACCATTTCACAGTGGACTTCGGAGTCTGGCCATGAGTCTCTAGGCAGAAAGAAGAAAGAGTATGTAAAGAACAATGAAAAATAATTCTCTTGTCATCTTAGTTAGACTTTAATCATACTGATTTGGATGGAAAGACCACACACACACACACACACACACACACACACACACACACTCCACACATAAATTCATTGTGTATATCCCAGAGGAACACTTAGCAGAAATTAGCAAACACTAGGTTGTCACACAGAAGAGCAATGTGCCATAACTAAGTGACATTTATTCTACACAGAGGATGCACAGGAGCCCATAATCCAACCTATGATTCAAATACTAGGTTTAATTTTATTACAAAAGAAAATATTCATGATGATCTTCATTGTGACAACATTATGTGGTAAGGTTTAGTCTACTCATGTTGACTATTCCAAATGCAACAGATATGTAGTTAATTTCTTGACATTGTGAATAGGAAATAGTTTTATGTGTAGCTATCACCCAGAATTATCAGAAAATGTAATATATACATATATATGAAAGCTGTTTGCTTCTATTTTTGCATATGATCAGAGAAAATTTGTATTACTTCTATTCTTATGGAATTTATACTAAATATCTATCCTAATATATAGTGATATGAAAATGCTATGAATATCTTACTGGGCAACAAGAGCAAATCTCCTGTGTTCATGGATAGGGTTCGATATCTGAATTTCCCTGTCTGTCTGTCTGTCTGTCTGTCTGTCTGTCTGTCTCTCTCTCTCTCTCTCTCTCTCACACACACACACACACACACCCCATACAAACATACATACTCACACATATACAAAACACGCACATACATCATGCATACATATACAAAACATATCACACATACACACACACATATACTACAGACACACATACACATATACACACACAGAGAGAAACACATACACAAACACACACACATACATATACACATGCATGTATTATACACATACACACATCCCAATAGTTCAGGCCCTCTATCCCAATAGTTCCTCTAGTTCAGTAGTTAAGGCCCACAAGCCTTACTTGTTTTTGAAACGTCTTGTGACATTCTGTCAGGTGAATTAGAGTCTTCCAATGATGCTGAAAGAGAGTACAGGGCATTGTTACACAAAGTAGGGTCTTTCCTTTGGTTGATTTTACTCTATCCATTTGACACTACATTGTTTTAAGGTGTGGAGCTTACATTAATTTCCCAACTTAGGTCTCTAAGTACCGCACATTCAATTTCTTAACGAACACCAACCCTTAGTCATTTTAGTTTCTCTAGGCCCAAAACTAATCAATCATAGGCTCTTCCTACCCTCTGCTCAAGGTCCCTCTTTCTCAGTCACAATGTTGTGACCCAGGACTGTTGTCTTCTCAAGCTAGGCATCCCCTTCCAAGGTCACTTAGGTTATTAGTATAACTCTCTTCTCCAGCCCAACAGGCCTATTCTCTGGTAGCTTTGGCTCAGCTTCTAGAATCCAATTCCAGTTCCACATCAAAAAGACCCTGTCCATGGGCCTCCCACACCATCTTATTTCCAATAGACTAGAGTGAGAATTAAAGGGCTTGTGAGATAAATTTGGGCCCACACAGATACTCTCTCTTTAGATTAATTCAAAGACATCTTATTGCCCTTATTTGTAGCTGTGAATCCCCTTTGCCTTGGTGCTTAATAAAAACAAAAGTTAGCATGTTCAGAGACTCAGTTCTTATCTTTTAACTTTATAAGACAGGAATACTGAGACCAAGAACATTGAGGTTTGTCTTAGAATTCTTACAGACAGGCTTTTCATAATTGTATTAATTACGAATTGTACTTTCTCAGTGTGTGATTCTTTGTATAACAACAACAAGTTCATATACACCATCTTGAATCTCAGTTGCCTTGTTCTTACTGTTCTATTTCTAGTAGGGTTTTCCCCTGACTTTTTATTTTCAACCTTTTGAAAGATTTCATTTGTAAATACTATCACTATGAACTGTATTTCTAGGGTTTAGTTATTTCATGTCTTTTAGTTCCACTCAGTGCCACCGATTTCTTAGGTTTCTAGCTTTCACATGCAGATTGTGGGACTTTTTTGTCATGAGTCTGTAGTGAAGTATTTCCTAATTTATCCATAGGTGTTCTTTTTAATAAAGCAACAACAATAAGTACAAACTAATGAGAAATAATGAAGCAACCACTTACTTGTCTGCAGTTTCTCTGTAATTTCTGATGACACAAAGTAGGGAAGAGAAACCTCTTTACACACTTTGGATAGTTACCAACCAAGAGATTCCTTGGAAATGTTGACACCTGTCATGGCAACTGAATGTTTCAAAGATTCTGTTCTAGAATGGTTGTGGCACCTGGCCAGAACATACTGACATATCCACTGGTTGCTCATTCTCAGGGCCAGGTGCTCCCTGATTTCTAAAAGAAATTCTTCACATGGTTCAATAGATGTTGGGTCGATGTGGATAGAAGATTCACAGAGATAACCTAATGGCATGAGCATTACTCACACTTGATTTTGTAGAAATATAAACCAATTCATTATTATTCTCTAGCTAATCAGTAAAAAATAAATAAAAGTAAGTAACAATCATTTTAAATACTGGCAAGGATTTAAAAAAAACTGTACTTTCCTACTCCATTGGTAGAGGTACAAATGAATATAAGTAAGTTATAGGGCAGTTTATGGCAAAGTTGGAGCCTACAACCTAGAATTCCCAATTGTAGGTCTATTGACCACAGAAACACTTAGAAATTCATATACAGTGAGCCATGGGGGCCAGTGTTCATTTCAAGACTCTCTGGTTATCAAAGCTGATGCTAAGTTGGTCTGTATGTGGGCCTCATAGCTAGTGGGACCTACACAATCTCTGAGATTATGCCACAGACCCATGCCATAGCTGTTGGCAAAGCAAGCTGACATGAGTATGTCTCACTGGGACATGGTCCATGCTTGGTATTGGCAGACTTAGAAATTATGACTGTGGGCCTTGGCCCTGGGTCAAGGGCCACATGATTCTGCCTTGTGTTGTGTTGGGGTTCGCTCTCGTGGGCCACACACTGGTTCTTAGATGAAGTCCTGTGTTCATTTCTTCATCATACTCAGGTCCATATTTGGAATCCTCCTCTGCACCATGTGACAAGTTGAGCTTTCATGATGGATGGTAGAAATAGACTCTTGGATGCCAGGTTAACTTGTCTGCATATACCCAACCCCCACCCCATCAGGTGACAGGGTAGGAGCCATGGGATCTGTGCCCTACTCAGTTTCATGGTGGTTTACCTCACACTAGGTTCCCCGGCCTGTTATTCATTCTTCTTCCGTCTTCCATGTCTTTCTCCACAATACATTGCTTCCAACTGAGGGAAGTGTGTGGAAGTTCCTTCTTGTCATTTTTCACGCAACTATCACCATCTGCTAAAAACAGGTACTGAGCTCTCACTTGGTTGTTTTGCTATTGTGAATGTAGTTTGGTGTAGGAATGGTGTTCAAATCCTGTGGAAAAATACTCACTGGAGAGACTTTCTTGGCCATCATCTTGCCCTATCTCCCTCCATCTCTATTTTTAACATGGAAAGTTAAGGTTTAAATTTTTTATCTATCTGTCTGTCTGTCTATCTAGCCATCAATCATTTATCTACCTCCATATATATATATATCTGTGGACAGAGGCTTCATTAAGTTGCTCAGACTGGCCTTGAACTGAGATGCTCCTGTCTCAAGATCCTGAGTATCTGGGATTACAGGCCTGCACCAACAGCCTAATTATCATCTTTCCTGATAACTGCATTTAGTGTTACAAATTTTAGCTCTGCATTCTATACTACTAGTTATGTTAATGAGTTACTGAATAGTATCCTTTCATTTTTCCCATTATAATATTTATTTATTATAGGAAGTTCTACTACCAAAACAAGCAAACAAAAATTTTGTTCAACTGTCTCCAATCCCTCAGTTTCAGGCAATGATTTTGCTATATTTAGAAATACTGGTTGATTTTTTTTCTGGTGCTTTGAAAATGGCATCCTACTGCCTTTGGTCCCCCATGGTTTCTGATCATGGATCATGTTACCTTGATTGATGATGTCCTGTTCTAATACAGTGCCTTTTACTTGTTTCTTTCTGAGACCCTTTAGACCTCAAAGGAGATTCTCTTTGAAGTTTGCTGGGCTTCTTAGAATTGATGGTTTTCATTAGATTTGGAGAGTATTGGGCCATTATCTTTACAGATATTTTTTTCTACCCTTCATTCTTTTCACTCTCTGAGTCTTGTATCATGCATAAGTTAGTCTGCTTTGTAGTGTGCCACAGTAAACTTCTATTCATTTTTCTCTATTTCTATTCTTTAGGCTGGATAGCAAAAGACATAACATCAAGTTTACTGATTTTTTCCTTGTTACTCAAATACACTTATTTTACTTTTCACTTACATTATCCTACTTTTCTTTTTTATGATTTCTATTTGATCACCATAGACAAGATATCATGTGGCATAGGATTATTTTATACTTTTTATTGGACATTGTTCTTGTACTTTCAGTCCTTTATTCATTTTTTTAAAGTTCTTTCACTATATTTATAATAATTTATTAAAAGTCTTTGCCTAGGGGCATGCAAGAATAGTGACCCGAGTTTGAATCTCCAGGACCCATATAAAAAGTTGGGCATGATGACACATGCCTATTATGTAGTGTTGAAGAGACAAAAATGGTAAGATCCTTAGAGCCTGTTGTGAGCCAGCACTGTTACTCATTGAGGTCTGAGTTCAATGAGAGACCTGTGTACCGTGCATTCTTCCCACCAGCCTGGTCAGTGAGCCGCATTAGTCCCAAATGAACACACAGGATTCTATATTAATTATAAAGCTTTTGGTAGTTTGCTGTGGTTTCTTAATGGCTAGCTCTGACTTAATTATTGACCCATAATTACTAATATATATTTTTGTAAGGTCTCCTCTTACCGAAAACACCAGACTTGTGCCCTCTCCTCCCAGGATCCCATGGCAACTCTCCATTCTTGACTACATTTCCCAGAATCCTCCTCGACTCCTAGTCTTACCTGGCTTGCTTCCCTATTGGCTAATAGTGCTTTATCAACCAATAGGACAAACATACACAGAAGGACTTCCCCCATCAGACCTAATGTTAAAAACACAAGTATAGAGCAATACAGGAAGACTTTGACTTGCACACATACACAAACATGTGCATATGCATCCAACACACACACACACTCTTTACCTAATTAGTTCAACATCCATTTTTGTGTGTGTATTAATAACTTTTTTCTTAGACACAGAAAATTTTCATTGATTCCTGAATGTTTTAAAGACTATAATGCAGTGTCTGTTTGTTATTACTCTTGCTGTCATTGTAGGTGGGATATTTTTTTGCTTTATGAATGTAGCAAATTTCAAAGGCTTTGAAATAATTAGTCTTCCAGTCTTCATCCACATGATGAGAGAGAGAGAGAGAGAGAGAGAGAGAGAGAGGTGTTCTAATGACTTTAAGATTTCCAGCAGTTCATTACTCTGCCTTGACTTTTACTTATTGAGTGCAGAGTCTCAAGTTCAAAATGCAGTGAGAGCCTTGTGTTTCTCAGGTACATCTTTGGCATGTACAGAGGCCCGCACATGCACATAGCCTGGGATGCCTAAGCGCAGACCAGTCTCACAGTTCCCTGTGGACCGTGACTTTTGTGTTTGGTCAGCTGCTCACTTGGTGCACTTGGTCTTGTCACCCAAGGCAGCTGCCTAGCCAAGCAGTTCTTATGGCATGTTTTAATAAATGGTGTGGGAACAGAGCTGTTGCACAGAATGAGCTCTGGGTCAGAGCAGATAAAAACAAATTATGTGAATTGAGTGTTGCTTCTTCAGGGACAAGGTAGACAGGTCAAATAGCATGGCTTCCTGGAGAACTTATGGGACAACACAAATCTTTTCACCTCCCCCATGCTGGATAGAGTGCTATTTTCACAGTTACTTTCATTGTGAAGTTGACAGTTGTTAAGTCTTTTGAGGACTAGAAATAACAAGATGGTAACAGGCTAAATAAATCACCACGGAAACAATATTTTCACTGAGTTTCGATTATTTTTCTTGAGATTTTAAACTGAAAGAAAAAACTATTTCAATACCTGATTACTACATTGAGTTCTGGAAAATTTGATTTTGATAATATTGGTTTTGTTCTCATTGTTTTTATAAAGGAACAGTTTTTTTTAAAGAGTCTCTTTTCAAAATTCTACCTTTTCTATAACGTAATTTTTTTTGTTTACTAGCACTTCTGGAGCTTCTTGAATATTCCTTTGCACTTGTTATTTATTTCTATCTTTGTGGAATGATGACAATTCTCCATTATAAAAGGCTGAAAATGCTGCATGTTTGTTCCATTATCAAAATGGTTCAAATCTTCTTGTCCTGCCCACGTCGGGAGAGGTGCACACCATGAATCCCCACTACCCTCAGCTTCCTCAGTCCTCCTCGACTTCCAAGACTCCTCCTTCAAAGGAGCTACCTTCTTCCACACCCACTCCAGGTCGCAGGCCTGAGGCAAAAGTTTCATGGAAACTGGTTTCCTGGAAGGTCCCTGGTGTCTCATATCAAGGAGTGTTCCAGATTTGCTCTAGCAATAACTGGTGTATGTTTTTGTGCCTTATCTTTTCTGGTATTAATTTTTGTGTAGGAATAAGTTTGCCTCAAGGGTCCAATCTGATTGAAGGTCCAGTAAAATTGGATATTCCTCCTCTGGCCACCACTGATGTTCCAACTTCCTTGCCAGAAATAAAACCAACAAAATCAGGGGCTGATGGTGGGCTCCTCCAGTAAATAGGGAATTTCTCCAAATGGTTAGGATAAGGGCTGCTCCCCTTCCTTATACTAGAATTTATGAAGAAGATAATAGGAGGAGAGCATTGCTGTGCTACACCCTAAATTTCATTGAACGGCTTGCTAGAGCAAGACCCCCTTGGTGTATTATCCAAGGCACAACAAAATAATATAATCAGAAAGTTCAAGAAGGCAGGCCAATGGTGGGTTAAGCACTGGACCAAGAATTGGGACTATGGCTAGGGTATATGCCCACAAGACAGGGGAAGTAATTCTAAGAATAGTTTGATCTCAGACAGAGCTGATGTTATCATGCTGTAACCACTGTCTGGCTACTGCCTGTTCTTATGTATTTGGTTTTGTATTTTGAATTTCTAGTCTCATGATGTGTCTTATGTGCCTATTGTGTATACTTCTATGTATCTTGACATATATACAAAATTAACTTTTCTATTTTGAACTTTTAGTC